TTGTGTGCAGTGGCGGCCTTAGCCATTGTGAGGCCCCAGGCTGATAGATCAGTGCTAGGCTCTTGTCTTTGTGGAATGGAACAACCGTCGACAGTTGACACTGAAAGCCAGTCAAAATGAGTGACGGAGAATCTCTGAACGTAAATAGAGCGCCTGTAGCGAGCGGCCAAGCCGTGAAATTTAAATCAACATTTTTCTACGCAACAACCCAATTGTTGAACGAGGCCTTGGGCGGTTGTCCTGCTCGCCATCCCAAAGGCCACTTCTGTTCCGGCCTCAGTTCTTTCAAGTCACCCATATAAGCATTATCTTTTACCTACCGCTGCCTTCCCTCCTTATACCTTTTAAATTTATTCGAAATTTGCCCAAGTAAATCCTAAAAGGCACAGATGAGAGCAATACGGTTGGCCTACCCCCTGGGGCCGTGTGTAGTATGTATTCCGCCCCGAGTTATTATTATGAGTAACTTAATGTTTAGTACTGTTACTTGACTGTGTCACGTGTCTCAATTGCTCTGTCTCACGCCTGAGTGACCACTAGAATATAGATAATCTATAAGATAGATTTGGTTTTCCCCAGCCGAACTTGATGCCGTGTTTCCTCGAAGCATGTGCTTAACACAGTTACATAGAAGTACGTAAGGCTTGGCCTCGCAACTCTGTTTATAATTTTGTCAATACAGAAATAACAAATTCTCTTTATACCGAATTTAAACTTTAAAAAACTAAACTCTTACTGTTTTACTAGAGTTAAGTATATTTATTTCTTTCCTTTTGAAGGAAAATAGTGTCTAATCTTCTTTAGTAAAATACTGTCGAATGTAATCACTTTTTGATCAAAAGATTATCCATCTTATAATCGAATCAACTCTTTGTGTCCTTCAGAGAGTTACAAAGGTCAAAGATATAACATACACCTAATGTTCCCCCTTTTCCTGTTTTTTATATAGGCAATTAATATTAAAAATCGATTAACGACTTATTTGGAGTTTGAAGTTCTAAATCGAATTAAATGAAGTATGTAATGTATATGATTCCTAATGCTATCCATTATCAAAAATCGTCGATTTTATAAATAAGGTAAAACCTCGAACGTTGTTAAAAAATCATAAATCCGTCTTTTTTTTTTATGACAGCTTCGCACGGCTTGTGCTTTTGCCATTGAAGCAGTCTTTATTATGGAGGTTCTCGGAAAAAAAAAACTATTGAATAAATTAAATTTTAGTGAGGTCTCGCGTCATTTATTATGTATTTACAGAATTCGCGTTAAATTTGTGATCAAATAAAGTTTTTTTTGTAGGCGTAGACACCATCAAGCCAGTTTTAGTTTTATTTTCTGCTTCCGAACGATATCAAACGTTTGTATCACTACAAAGATTGTAAACAAAATGTCGGCGTAACTTTTGGAAATAAACAAAATTAGTTTTTTTGAGTTCAGAATCTGTAAATAAGCCAATTTACCTCATTTGTTACAAATCAGTCCTTCTCAACTATCAACGCCCGCATGAATTTTATCAGTCTACCTACATACAACGCTTATCAACAATCATCTAGATTTCTAGATTGTTCTTGCAGATCAATTTAGATGATCTCAATACGCACTGATAATAGTCATAGACAAACATTGTTTTTGTAAATGTCATATGTTAATGTATGTGTGTGCGTGTGTGTGTGTGTATAAAAGAAAGCACTGATAACTGTAGAGACGGATATATTTTCTCTTGGCCTTCCTCCAGCGTTTTTGGTTAGAAGTGATTCATAAAACAGCGCACGCGCAGTTCACGTCACTTATCAGATGTACTTTTATAAACTCATTGCCAAATTCGTTGAGGCATTGTACGAACGACCTAGGTAGGCAATATTTGTATGTGTTAAATGATGCAATGGCGCTGTTTCTAAGAAATAATATCTAATTTTAATGTTATGAGAATAAATCTACTGATACGTAGAATGTCAGGTGCGTCCAATGTCTAATAGGGGACAAATATAGGTTAATTGAATCAATTGCTTACAGGAATATGCTTTAGGGTCTTAAACTTTGTTTTTCCTTTCATCCTCTTTACCTGGATAGTTGGCCCTCCACTACTGTGCGCTTTTCGAGACACTTTTTGCCCCGCACAACCAATCTGTGGAACGGGTTATCGTCTGTGGTATTTCCGGACCGATACGACCTTCAAGAAAAGAGCGTACTCCTTCCTAAAAGGCCGGCAACGCGTTTGTGACTCCTGAGTTGCAGACGTTCATGGGCGGCGATAGTCACTTTCCATCAGGTGACCCGTCTGCTCGTCTGCCCCCTCTAACATTTTTATGTTAGAGGGGGCAGTCTTTTTGTTTTTACAAAAAGAGGGCGAAGTCTTTTTGTTTTTACAAAAAGACTTGACTGCCGCGGGAAACTCATGCTTAGGTGTGCAATATACGGGAACGATCGGAGTGATACCTGAAACCGGTGTTAAACAATTCACGGAGGTAATAGCGGCAACGAACTCGTGTCTCTTGAGTTATGGGTGTTCAGGGGTGGTCATTTACCATCAGGTGAGCCATCGTTTGCCCCAGAATAATATATGTGTTCAATTGAGTTGGTAGTCAAGGAAGACATAAAATGTGGAGCCGAGCGAATAGAAATGTGACTCTTTCCTGCAGAAGTCCTATTTGCCATAGTTCCCGATGTAAGGCTCACTAGTTTTTTCTTCATTTATTCGTAATTAAATTGTAGACAGGTAACCCAGAAAATACAATACATGGCGTATACGATGGCGTAGTGGTTAAAGCGGTCGCCACGCCACTTAGCTTACTCTGAGTGTTGTGGGCCCGATCCTCACATGGGACGACACTTTGTGTGATCCACAAATTGTTGTTCTGAGTCTGGGTGTTCTTTGTGTTCGTTTCATGTATGTTCGTAAAGTCCCCCGCGACACAGGATATATTCTTAATGCGGGAAGTGTTTTTTTGTGTGGAAACCGTTACTAATTACCGGGGCTCAGGGCGAAGTGGTATGTCGAAATTGAGCCGACTAAAACCACATATCATCATAATCATCTCCTTTACCTTTAAAATTCCACTGCTGGACATAGGCCTCTTCTTAGAAATGAGGTATTGACCTACTAAACGATACTGGCCAGACGGGTTGGTATAGGATTTGTTTCAAGTTTTCCTTCTCTCTGCAGTGTTGTTGTACTGTGTAGTTTGCACCCACGGGATGAATAGGGGTGGTGACGCTCCCTATTCAAAATCCGTCAATTACGTAAGTCTATTGCAAGGGATTCGGGTATACCTTCTTTTTTTTTAAAAAGGAAGGAAGTCCCAAACGCTGTGGTCCATCATCGTATGTCAAATTGTTTTACCACATTAAAGAATAAATTTGTTACTTAAATAGTCGTAAAATAAGCTGCATAAAATATAAATAGAACTCGGTAAAAATTGTATCGAGCAATTCTATCTCAGGGCCAAATTGAGTAATGTTTCAAAAACTTTCGTAAAACTCTTTTTGTACATTACATCAAGTTTTTAAAAATAATGCTTATTTTTATCGCGAAATATTGTTAAAACTAGAGATCATATCAGTTGATACATTATTATTTTATTTTTAAATATTCTTGCCCCCCTTCACTCTTTTTTAAGGATTTCTAGCTGGTATTTTTTTAGCTTTTCTTTTCTTATTATATTCGAGTATGCATATTTGTATAGGATAGGATGCCTCTGTTTTCAAATTACAAACTGTTTACCACATCACGAAATGATTTAAATTTATACCTGTTCTTTTTTAGTTTTTTTCCTTTTTTATAACATTTGAAATACTTAGGAACTGAAGTAGTTTTTAATGCTATTAATTGTTGCTAACTTACTAAAGGTCAGTAACAATAATTTAATGCCTAGTATTTTTTATTTCAAGACTAGAAAATTCCGTTTGGAGTTGAGTAATTTTTTTAATATACGAAATCGATCTTTTAAGCAAGTGTTTTTTATCTTATTGAGTTTATATCATACTAGCTGACCCTCGCAACTTCGTCTGCGTTTTTGAAACATTCTTCATTCGTGCTCCGCTCCTATTGGTCTTAGCGTGATGATATATAGCCTATAGCCTTCCTCGATAAATGGGCTATCTAACACTGAAAGATTTTTTTAAATCGGACCAGTAGTTCCTGAGATTAGCGCGTTCAAACAAACAAACAAACAAACTCTTCAGCTTTATAATATTAGTATAGATAGGTACATTGACGTTTCAAACATTTCTTTTCACGCACACACATTAGGACATATCAATCCTCTTATGTTATGGCTCTCTGTAACCTTTACTGATCGATTGAAACAACATTCGATAGTCTTTATAGTTATTAATAGTTACGTAATCGTGAATACAGCCGACATAACATATTTCTGTTGCACCTATTGTTGATTGACGTCTGTAAAGTGATGGAGCTGGTGTTTTGTGTCTCTGTTTGCATATTTCACTTAAAATGGGTTACAAAGTTATGAACCTGCACTCGGGTTCTTATTCCAGAAGGGGTAGACAGGCATTTATGTAATAGGGGGTATTGTCTATTGTCGTCAATCTGGAACTTGAAGGTTAAGATGGGAAAATTAAGGAGTATCTTGAACAAAAGTAATAATAACCTCACACATTCACAGCTGTCTGATTCCAAACCAGCCAGAGCCTGTACTATGGTAACCGGAATGCTGATAAACATACTTATATATTTCGAAACACATACATATTACAGATAAATTACACGCTTTTTTTTTCCGTGCGGAAATCCCCTCGGATACCACCTGTCGGTGGCATGTCGGACTCGAACCGACTAAAACCGCACGCCGTCTCGGGTACTAATAGCCGGGGAACCAGGTATACCCTAGAAAGGAAGTCCCTGGTGCAAGAAGATAAATTACACCCAGACACAGAACAAATAATCGTGATCATCACACAAATATTTTATACCCACCATCAGCAGTCTTAGAAAATAAATAGGAACTAGAAGATAAACCATGAGATATTTTTGCCTGCAGGTATCCCAGTGTCCCAGCAGCACTTGCTGTACAACCTCAAAGAGCTCGATGATGCTTCGTCGCTCCGCGAGCACGCCATCGGCGACGGCGCGCGGCTGCGGCTCGTGCTCGGAATGCGCGGCGGGCCCATCTCCACCCGCCGCCTGCCGCCACCGCCTAACGCTGAACCTTGGAGAGATATTGAAAGGCTTCTCGATACTAACAGGTAATTGCAAATGCACATAAACCGACGCAGCCTACACCGACTTTGTCTGAATAGTCAGCCCATAACAATCTACTGCTGGACATAGGCCTCTCTTTAGAAATTAGGTTTTGGCCTACTATACCACGCTGACCAGACGGGTTTGTTTCAAGTTTTCCTTCTCTTTGTATTGTTGTTGTCCTGCGTAATTTTCGCATTTTTTCAGTACCATTAAAAGTTTACACAATTTTAATTCAATTAAGTTCGTCTGTTTGTTTGTTAAATGTTATCAACAGCATTTAATAGTCCACTGCTGGACATAAGCCTCTTCTTAGAAAGGAGGTTTTGGCCTACTATACCACGCTTTCCAGACGGGTTGGTTTACGGTTTGTGTCAAGTTTTCCTTCTCTTTGCATTGCTGCTGTCCTGCATAGCTTGCTGCCTTAGTCGGCTCTTACGACACCCGGTATGAATAGGGTGGTGACACTCCGTATTTTTAATCCGTCACTACACGGATAAAAGACGAATATGTTCATATAAACATAATAACATAGTCCATAATCAAAGGACTAAATCGTAAGTCAAAGCTAGTTTTATGAATTCGGAGAAGAAACACATACACGTCTTAGAAGAAATACATACATGTTAGATGTCGGATGAATAATTTACGGAAGTCGATTGTTAATTATTTCCAGAGACGATGCAGAATGGGGTGGCAGTGGCTGCAAGGTGACGGTGCTGGTGTTCCGCGACGGCGAGAGAGTCAACATGTTGCGGGTCAAAGAGAACCACGATGGCACATACTCTCCTCTACACCCCAACAAATGTGAGATAATTATTTTAAACGTTTTACATCACATCAATTCGATTATTTTTTTGACAATTGACTTTGACCAACAATTGACCAAAAATTGGCCAAACCTTTCTGAATAGTAAAATGTTGAGTAATTTTATATTCTTTTAGTTGTTCCTATAACTTATTTATGACCACAATATGTCAATGTAATGCCCATGACCCTCGTATACTGTGACAAGTTTAAGAGAAAAATGGTTATTTCCTTTATAACATAGGGGTGAACGAGCAGACGTGACGAGGCACAAGTGCCGCAATTACCGTCAAATGGAGGGGGGGGGGGGGGTTTGGGCGTCTGTAATCTTCACTCACTTGGTGAAAAACTACGAACGAATTGCTTAATCCCAGTGCTTATAACCATGTTTTTTTAAACACACCACGCCATCTAGTTTCAAATTAAGGAGTTATATACTTTTTTTTTGTAAATATATACATATTATACCGCCGAGGCAGCCAAAACCTTTGACGTGAGCCGATAAATATGGGGGGGGGGCGGTAATTTTAACCTACTCGGTGGAAACAAGGAACGAATTAATTAACACCGGTTCTCTACGAGTATCGGTCGAGCTGGCCCATATGTGGCAAAGCACGACTCTCCCCTAGTAAACATTTAACTTAAAGTATGATTCATGTTATTTATAGACACATCCGCCTCTACGTCGGTGTCAAGTGGCGAGCGCGAGGTGACGCGCGCTGCTGCTGCAGGAGGGGGGGAGGGCCCCAGTGGAGTGGGCGCGCTGCACGACAACGCGCTGACGCTGGCCAGGATGACAGAGTTGCGCCGGCGCATGGAAACGCTCTGCGTGCAACGCACTAGGCATCATTCACGTGCCAGTAAGTATATTTGTTTTACATAACACACTTAAAGGTGATGAGAGGTAACCACCAGGTGGTGGTACCTTTGAAGGGCTATCCCAAAAACCTTTTTAGTCTATGCGAGCCATACTTTGCTGTTGGAGTGCCATAGAAGGGTAATATGGTTTCGGCCGTGCAGTTCCTTTGGTGGCTTTCGCTGATTTCGTGTGGTTTACATTTAAATAAAGCAATAAATAATAATAAACTCACAAGAGGATCTCAAAATGACATTCTGTATCATTTCTTTACCTGGACTAAAGGCAAATTTAACAGGCCCATAGAACTCCCAACACTACCTTTCGCTATACCATGTTAAGGAATAGGCTTGTGTCCACTAAAAACAAATTGCTTGGTTTATAGTTTCAAACTAAAACAGTATATTTCTCATAAAAGTTAAAGATTATTAATATTAAAAAAAAAAAATATTACAAAATGGGCATTAAGTCACGTGACAGCGAACACCAATTAGAAACATCACGCCACGCAAAACATCATTGCCGTTGCTGACGTTTTCATACAACAGAGCAGGTTACTCCTTAGTTTTTCGTTTTTAGCATATTTTCTCACCTTATATACCTTTCTGTTGACACTGGACACAGATGTAAACAGTTTTGTTTCGCAGACTGTGACGTCACTCAAGACGCCATGGCACTATTCAGAGTTTTCAAGGGCAATTTAAATTGTTTTTTTTTTAAATACAAAATACGTAATGTAAATATTGCTTTTTCTTTAAAATATAGATTTTTTGGGATAAAATAGATATTAAAGTATATAATTAACCAAGTTTCAAATTGAGGCAAGTAGCCTATTGTCGAAATAGTGCCACATTTAGTAACTTCTCGGGTTCGGTTTCTAAGAGATACACTTTCAAACGTAAAATTCCAGTAACCTACTTTGTTAACAATTGTTGATTGTCACGTCAAACCAATATATTTTTATGAAACGTCAAAATTATACATGCAGTAAATTTATATATATAATAATAAGACTGACGTCATACTTAGTTTCTTTAGTTATTAGTCAAATCATGTACTTTAAATGTTTATCCAAAGAAATAACAAACATAAAAAAACATCAGAAATCTCTCCTATTTGTTGCAGGCGACAAAGTGGATATACAAAAAACAAGGTCTGAAGAAACACTATCCGTCCCTAGTTTGTTAGACGAGGGGTGTTCAGACCCCTTCGATATTTCGTACGCGCCCCACAGTGACGCCGAGGACACGTTCGCGCCGCTCTACGACGGGAACTACACCAGATACGACTACGACTGTTCCTTCACCGACCGCTACACACTGCTGCCACCTATCGGCACGAGGGTAGACTCCGACTCGTCCGTACAAGAAAGTGCCGAAAACGAGAGGATCAAACTCTCCGATGCTTTGGCTGGGTCTATACTGGTGAAGGGCAGGAGAGATGCCCGTGATGATGAGGCCGCTATTCTCGAGGAGTGCCTGGACAGTGATGAGTGTCATTTGAGACAAGATTCGCCTCAGCTCGCCGCTAAAAGTTTAGCGCCGATACCTGCAGCTGAATATGGTAAGTTTTTTTTTCTATACAGATACTATTTAGTTTGATGATGAAGTGGAAAATGGTGTTATATTTTTTGGTGGTTCGTGTAGTTTTGTTTTCAAATTTTAATTTCGATTATAAGATTTGAATTTATTTTTTAATAATAATAATAAAAAAGGACGATTTAAATTGTTTTGTACTAGTACGTACTTGCGACTTTTTAGCGTGGAATTTGAAAAGCGCTGACTTAGTGGGTTCGAATCTCTACTGGATAAAGTTTTATGGGGTTTTTCTGAGAGGAAAAATAGCCTAAGTTACTCCTTATATAGACAGCTACCTGGTAGTAAAATATTATCAAAATTGGTTTAGTCGTTTAGAAGATTTCCCGGAAAAGAACAGACAGACAGATAGGTAAAACAAATGTAAACTGGTTTTTAGGCATAGGTATCGTGTGAATACCGTGCGAGTTGTGATGATAAGTGACAATTCGTATCATCTCATCAACAGTCTTTAATAGTCCACTGCTGGACATAGGCCTCTCTTTAGAAAGGAGGTTTTGGCCTACTATACCACGCTGGCCAGACGGGTTGGTATAGGGTTAGTGTCAAGTTTTCCTTCTCTCTGCAGTGCTGTTGTCCTGCGTATTTCGCCCCCTCCGCCCACGGGATGAACAGGGGTGGTGCCGTTTTGTATTCTTAATCCGTGAGCACACGGACAACCGGTATAGATAAGTATTAGTAAGTACTATGTGTGCAGGTGCGCTGGTGGGCGGTGGCGCGTGGCGCTCGTTCGGCGTGCGGTGCGCGGAGGGCTCGCACTCGGCCTCGTCGCTGCACGCGCGCGCCCCCGCCCCCCCGCGCCGGCCCGCCCCGCTCTCCGACGCGCTCTTCTCCTCCTCCACCTCTGACCTCGAGAAGCTCAAGCGGAACAGGTACGACCGACACACCACATATTCCTAATACCGTCTTTTAAAAAAAATAAAAAGTACTTAAATCCCGAGTATGCTTTAAAACTGACAAAATGTTATGAGAAATTATCTCTCTTTTTCAGAAGTATTCTAAATTAATTTTTTACTGCATTTTTGTATCCAAAACGAAGTATTTTCTGATGCCATAATAACACACTAATCATTTACAACATCATCATTTTTAACACTAATCAAATTATTTAAAAATTACATACATTTTAGCAATTGTAGTTTAGGGTTGAAGTATCTACACCGATATAAAGAATAATCGATTCAATGAATTCACGATCGAAACACCGTTAATCGTTTTAAAATAGATGTTAGTGTGTATATTAATTTAGAATATTTTTAATCTAAATTACGTGCTATGTTCCACGTTATAACTAAAATTACAAACTCAAAATAAATAAAAATAATCTGCAAAACTAATGAATGGACGTAACCAAATTACAGACAGCATCATATTCACCTACCAAAATTTGAGAAAATGTCCAACTCGATATTTTTTTTATATGTTACAACTTTCAACCATATCATAAGTAATGCACACAACATATTTAAATTTATTTATCGTAAATGTTTTATTTTATGACTATTCTAAAACATAATTATGAATTCATTTGTTACATACAAAAAGCGTAAAATAAATTGATAAACTATTTAATTAAACCAAAGATGGTCTCCGGTTTAACAATTTTTTTACCAATTTACGATGTGTAAGATGACTCTATTAATTTTTACCTCTGTAACAATTATTGTAACAAAACTGATTAAATTGAGAATGATAGTTTTGAAGAAGTTTTGCAAAAATAAGAATCATGGTATAGTTTCAATTATTTCCAGACATTTTTAAGTATTATATTTCGAACAACTGACACACAACGCCATCTAGTTTTAAACTAAGCAGAGCTGTACTATGAAACTAGATTAACAGATAGGATATTAATATCCTTTTTTCTTCTAAATTATACATATTAAATATAGAAATTATAATTTTTTAATTAAAACGTTACGTGTTTGTAAAAAATAATGTACAAAGCGACGTTAAGTAGCATATATTATGTGTACTGCTGATTCGAAGCGACGTAATCCGAGAGTAACGTTATTTTAACGATATCGTGTTCATTCGAATTTTGATCGATCCACAGTCGAATTTTGCCGGCGCTGAGTCGACACCGCAACCGCTCGCACCTGCACCTGTCGGACTCGGGGCTGGACGTGGCGGGCGGGGCGGGTGCGGGGGGGGGCGCGGCTCCGGCGGGCCCGGGCGCGGCGGCTGTGGCGGCGGCGGACGGGGAGGGCTCGGCCTCGCCCCGCAAGGCGCGCTCCCGCTGCCAGCTGTGCCGCAAGCGGCTGAGCATCGCCACGCTGCACCGCTGCCGCTGCGGGGGCAGCTACTGCGCGCCGCACCGCTACGCGGAGGTGCACGGCTGCGCCTACGACTACCGCGCCGACGCCGCCGCGCTGCTGCAGCCGCCCGTGCACGCGCCCAAGCTGCCGCGCATCTAGCGACGCGCCCCGGCCGTCACCTCCCTCCGCCCCCTCACCTCCGCCCGCTGTGTGCCGTTTTCTTTTCTATTTAACTATTGAAAAATGTAAAAAAAATGTTACTCCGTAGAGTTCCCGGCCCGGGCGGCGTCGAGGCGCTCGCTCGGTCCGGGTGTCGCCGGGCCCGGCTCCCGAGACGGGCTTCGCCGCGAGCCGCCGCACCGTGACTCGACCCCCCTCCCCTGCGTTACGCCGTGGCCTCCTCGAGCCCCTCGTCGCGTGTCTTTTGTAAATACTTTCGTCGACTAGTACTCTCGGTACAGGAAAGTATCTGTATTGTAAACAAAAGACTGCCGCTGTGATCGTTAGCTCCCCTCCCCTCCCCTCCCGTCCCCGCACGGTCGAGGACGAGCTCGCGGCGAAGCCCCGGGCTCCCGGTCGGCCCGGCCTATCGTTGTTGTATATTACTTGTGTAACACTAGATTAATTATCGCTTAAAACATATTAATTTTTTATTAAAATATGATACTCGCCCGGTTCAGTGACATCGCTATATTATCTGAATGCGTCGAAAGATGTCGGTCAGCCGTCGAGTTGCCGCTTCGTTTGTAGAAAAACGTTTGTGATCCCGATGATTTATAAAACGTTACTATTGTTCGATGTTATTAGATATGTACGCCTTTACGAGTTTCAATTATAAAGAAACAAACATTTTTGTACAAACGAGCGCCCCGTTCAATGGCCTACTGTAAATATTCGAATGTAATGTAATAGAACTATAAATAGGTATATTTTATTGACATATTAGTATATACACGGTTCGACAGCTGGCCGATGGAGTCGCCATGGTGCGTTGAACGACCATCTCCTACCCTACAGTCAATCGACTAGAGTTGTCATATTTTACACTAAAATATAAATATAAAAAGAGAAATATTTGTGATATGAAACACTTAATATTGTTGAGAATTCTTATTTTCTTGTTAAAATGTTTAACGGTCCGGTTGATAAGGTGGCAAGTACCATAGAGATAAGAGAAGAGATCGTTGCACGCAGAAGCCCTCTCTATCTCTTTCTTAATTCCCGCACATGTATACCTGTATACATGCAGTGCGAGAGAGATGGAGAGGTCTAGGTGGGACCGTCGCGCTCTATTGTTGTGTCTATGGCAAGCCCCGACCCGCGGTCGGCCGGTTGATTGACTGTGACAGAACTCGGTGCACTCGCTCCACTCACCAATCCTTTATTTACATGTCGGCTGGTTTGCCAACTTTTTTATTTGATTATATAATTTAAGTTTATATCTAATCTTTATTTTGGATGATAATTTTGGCTGATTTCGATAATAAATATTTATAACGCGAAAGCGTAAATCGATTTATTTATATTCTCACAACACTATAACAAATATAAATCTTATTGATTGGAATTATAAAACTAAATAATTACAGACATGTTTTGACTTAGCATTACCCAAACTTTAAACAATCCAATATATTATTGAGCGATATTTATTTATTTTCTAAATTATAATTTGACAGTTATTAGAAACTTAACTGCAAGAACAATAGCTAAATAGTATAAGACATCATAATATAAATAGATTAGTTTTTTAATAAATAATTCAGATATTTTAGTATATAATGTGAAATTTATAACTTACAAATTAGATTAGAACAGATTTGACAAATACAGTTACATAATACATGTTTACTGATGTATTTTTTCGTATTTTGTTGTACAAATAATATGGGGTAGGGGGTGCACTTGGAATCGTTTATTAATTATGACACAAATACGAAGAAAGAGTTTATAGGGAGTGTTTGACAGTGTACAATAGAAGTTATCATGTTTTTTAATCACTTTGAAATTAATTTTGTTTAAGTGTCTAAATTATACAAAGAAATATTCGTACATGTCCAAAAAAAGTTAAATATTTTATTTCGTCATTAAAAGTCAAAGGTCACGCATAAATCACTTGGTCGTCGGTCTCCCTCAGGAAGGACTCGAATATCTCTACGAAATTGTCTATGCCCTCCCTGAAGTTGTCGTCCGGTTCCCTCTCGTCCTCGTCGTTGAAGAAGGCGTGGACGAAGTCGATGATCTTGACGGTGCCCCAGGGGTTCGGGTTGGGCGAGTCGGAGCAGAGCTGGTCGAGCGTCGCGCGGTAGTTCATCTTGATCCGGGACAGCTTGCCGTCGTAGTTGTGGTCGGGCGAGTGCGTGACGCTGAGGCGCTGCAGCGCGTCGTCCCAGGGCGAGGGGGGGCCGGGGGGAGGGTCGGGCGAGCCGAGCGCCGCGTGCGAGGCCAGCGGGAGCGTGGGCACGCCGCTCACGCGCGAGTACAGCGGGCCGTGCGCGCCCACCTGCCCGCTGAAGTTGGACGCGCCCAGCGAGGCCCGCCGCGCCGCCCCCGCCCCCGCACCCGCACCCACCCCCGCACCGCCCCAGCACACCGGCGACGAGCGAGACCTGCGCGCGTACTTCAATTATACACTCATTCTACCATATCCAAAACAAATATTATATCACATTCAATTTAAAGAGAAACTCGAGACCTTTAAACTAAAATACCATTATTATACACCATGATTTTGTAATCGTATTGTATATCGAAGTAAAATTACTTATAACATACTGGTTATAAAATCAAACAATATTTACCCTATTATACGATAAGATTCACAGCTAGTCAAAATTGAAGTATTTAGATACTAAACTTTTAAAAGTAATTTACCTTTTTTTTTAAATTCCTATCGTTAGAAATGCTTTTTATGACATCTCACCATAGATAACATATAAGACAGACATTTATTTTTTTAATAATTGCACCAATTTGTGAATTAAATAAATCCCACACAAGAATAGTCTCAATTAATTCCCATAATCACCCAGGCCTTAATACCTACGCAACACAAAAGAAGTAACTTTTTATCTAATATATAAACTGACGCGTTTTTTAATGGTGTATAGAGCCATCGAACAGCCAAGTCACCTGATGATAAATCATCATCATCAACAGCCTTTAATAGTCCACTACTGGGCCTAAGTCTCCTTAGGAAGAAGGTTTTGGCCTACTATACCACGCTGACCAGACAAGTTGGTATAAGGTTTGTGTCAACGTAGTTTTAGTTAGTCGGCTCTTACGTCACCCACGGGATGAATAAGGGTGGCAACACCGTATTCTTAATCCGTCACCACACGGACCATATGATAGAATACGGAGATGATAAATAAATACTGACATACATGTTTACAACTCTACTACAACTATATAATAAAATCGGAAGCAGATGTCACAAGTCTCGCCATAATATAATGTTATGCCACATTCACATAACGCCATCTAGTCCCAAACTAAGCAGAGCTTGTACTATGGGTACTAGACAACTGATATTGTCACCTCTCTGTTTTAAATTGAATGAAATTAATCTTAGTCACACATAATAACGATAGTGGAAACAAAATTATCGATGTAATATTAATTAAACAGGTCATATCTTCCCTCTCGTTTTCCTGTAATGTGTGCGAGTGAGTAAAAAGGGACGGAAGTGTGTAACAGGAAGCCGAGAAAGTGCGCGCTATTCAGTTTGACCAATGAACGCACGCGATGGTAGATGTCAGATGTTACGCGTCTATTGTACGCTGACTCAAATATAAAGGTTATTACTCATCCTAGGTTGGTACATAATTTTATGACAGGATTTGAGTTTCTTTGAATTTCGACAATTAACGAAGTTTTGAATACTCTTTGTCAAGGATATCTTCATAAAGGACCTTTCATCCTGACAACTAATCTTCAAAGATATCTGAATTGATTAAGAAAATCTACTTTATCCCAAGAAACAAATAAAAAAAATCTGTCGATCGCTGGTGTACTGGTTTGATTCGAATCCTCTCGATCCCAACACTACCGCCACTTCGTCAAGTGTGTGGTGGACTCACGGAGGGTCTTTGGTCTCCCCGCAGCATTCCCTGAGCCTGGTGGCATCATACACGAGCAGGAGCGATGTGCTGTAGAGGCGCAGAGCGAGCTGGTGGCGCGCCCACTTCTGTATGCGCCACAGTTGCGACAGGAACTGCAGCACCAGCGCCCGGCACAGCACCGTGCCCAAACCGTTTAGGTACTTCCTGATCGCTGCAAGAGAACATATTTAATTTATTTCTATAGGGCTTAGGTAGCATCTGATGGATATGTTTATAGTTTGACCTTGACATCTTAATTTTGGGAATATAAAACCTTTTTTTTTCTATATCTAGTCTCGTATTCTCTATCTATCTCAATTTCATGAAAAGCTGTAATTTTAAGTATTTTTAACTAATACATATTGAGAGTAGACATACTCGTAATAAATAATTTAAAGACGACAAAGACATATGAATGTATTTAATTTCTTATAGGCCAAAACCTCCTTTTTAAGGAGAGGCCTATGTCCAGCAGTGGACTTAAAGGCTGATGATGTGTAGGGATATAAGTGATAATCGAACTTGCAGACTGAATAAGGCCCTTGAGTCGCTGAACGACATAAACTTGGCTTTATTTACTTTAGTTTCCAGTAACTTATGTGAAGAGAATTTTTGGATAGCCAAAGTGCTTTTCTGGAATTCTTTCTGAAGATTAAAAAAACTTGTGTCGCTAATAAGAAATAACTGGAAAAGGAATTAGTGACGAAAAATAAGAATAAAAAGATATTACAAAAATGGGATGACGGGACTAATCACTCCCACACGCCCACCACTGTAACTCCTGTACACGAGGATCAACAGTAGTGAACAGAACAACCCACGAACACACAGAGCGATGACACTCGGGAAGTTCCAGGAAAATATTAACTTGTCTTGGAACCCGCAACGAAATTGATCAGAAGAAAATTGGAGTTGGAAATATATACCAAATGGGATAATATAAAATTAAGCAGGTGCTGATTCTCACCATCTTTCACAGCTTCTCCGTGCAGTCTCTTCCCGTAGTCCTTGTTGTACTTGTGTAGTTGTCCAGTAGTGTGCTTGTACACATGGAACCCTGGGATACAGAACCCGTATTGTTGCTTACATTCTGTGTACTTGGACTTTTCTTTTTTGATCTTTTCTTCTGTCGCTAAGGGGTCCCATGTTCTTTTACCTAAAAATTTAAAGAATAAAATATGTAGTATTTGATGAAAAAGTAACCTTTTCTCTTTGGAAACTAATATCTCTGGTGTGTATTTCTATAACGTGATTTAGGATCAGTTTTGCGAAGTCAGCAAGGGTTCGGTAGATGGCGGTACTGGTTATAACCGTATTTTGACACTACAGTCAGCTTCAATCAAAAAGATGAAAAATCTACTCATGGTTCACTCATTTATTTGACTGCACGCATGGCGCAGTGGTTTAAGCGGTCGCCACGCCGCTTCCTACTACGCCGAGTGTTGTGGGTTCAAACCCCACATGGGACGACACTTTGTGTGATCCACAAATTGTTGTTCTGAGTCTAGGTGTTCTTTGTGTCCGTTTCATGTATGTTTGTAAAGTCCCTGTGACACAGAATATATTCCTAATGCGGGAGATGTCATTTAAAAAAAAATAGTTGAAAAAAATTAAAAAACACGCTTTTTAAGTTCTAAAAGAAAGCGTTGGGTGCTTTTTATTATTGACAACAGGCACCCGCCAAATTTATTTCCTTTTTTTTTAGTTTGGTTTTCTATAGAAAGCGTGTTTTTTAGTTTTTTTAAACAATTTTTTTTTTAAATTAGTGTATTGTCATCGGTCCTCGATATATCTACAAAGTTTGAACGAATTCTGACCGTTTAAAGTCAGTCAAAATCACGCTCAAAAGAGTCGGTTACAAACAAATATACAAGTGAAGCTAATATAAAGCGTGTAAAAAAAAAATTGGCGGGAACTGGCAATGTCTGACGCTGTACTGACAGTTTTACTCACCTATTTTGACGTCCATGACACACGGTTCGAGCATTCTTACTGTGAGATCTTCTAGTATGATATACTCTTGTTCAAAACCGTTGTAGGTGAATTTCTTGCAGCCGAAGTACTTGGCCGTACAACTGCGCAACTCGACTAAGTCCGGATCCTCAGACAGGGAGATCCGCTTATAGAAGTCAACCTCTCGCTTCTGAGCCTCCTTGATTATCGGTTTGAGGATAGTGCCGTTGCTACATTGGAGAAGACCTGAAGAATAGAATATAGATTGCATAACATTTTCACCAATTTCTTTATTTTTTTATGCAAATATCACGCCATATTGTTTTCTTCTTCTTTTCTTTAAAATGGGAAACTTGAAATGGGTTACATAAATTGTAGTTTTAATATGTTTGGCTGGAGAGGATTTGCCGGTTTTTACATCTCGATATAATTGTCTAAATGTATTACAAATTTATGTGGTTAAATATAAGTAAAAAAATATTGTTTTAACTCGTACTTGGCGGAGAAATTATTTGAAAAAATGTTAGGTATATATATGTCCTAAAATGTTGTAATCATGATTACCCGTGGGAGCTACGTTTCGGCACCCACGGGCTGGTTCGACCGCAGTGATAGCTTTCCAGAGAACCGGTGTTAAATTATTCTTTTGATAATAAAAAAGTGTGTATGCAATTAATTAACACACGGCAGAAGTGAAACTTCATAAAAATATTTTTTTTATTAAATAAAAAGATAAAGTATTCACACTGTCACAAAAAAAATATTATTGGGTGTAAAATCAATACAAATAATTTACTAATGTTAATAAATTTCATTGACTGAACGAATGGCGTAGTGGTTTAAGCTGTTACACTGCCGCTTCCTACTCTAAGTGTTGTGGGTTCGATCCCCACATGGGACATCACTTACCCTAATAGCACACTTCCTCACCTAGAAACTTAGTATCTTCAGTCTTCTTGTGTCCAGCAACCTGCATGGCATACGCCTGAATCTCCAAGGCATCTGTGGGGAATGCTATAGGCTTCGGCATCATCTCGTCTTCTCTCTTCTGGATGTTGTAGTGCACCTGGTATATTGACCGCAGTCGCCGTAACTTATGCGACTTGTTTTCGTTCGACACATTGCTCATTTAGCCGGGAGCCTGTGGACACAAATTAATATTATTTATTACTAGCTGACCCGCGCAACTTCGTCTGCGTCTCTCAATAGTAATAAATTTTCTCCGTTTTTGAAACATTCTTCATTGGTGCTCCGCTCCTATTGGTCTTAGCGTGATGATATATAGCCTATAGCCTTCCTCGATAAAAGGGCTATCTAATACTGAAAGATTTTTTTAAATCGGACCAGTAGTTCCTGAGATTAGCGCGTTCAAACAAACAAACAAACTCTTCAGCTTTATAATAGTATAGATTTAGTGGCAATATAATTCATTTGTTACCCCTTTACAAAATAAGATTAAGAATACGTAGTGTCACCACCCCTATTCATGCCGTGGGTGTCGTTAGAGCCGACGAAAACGTAGGAAAACTTGAAACAAATGGTGGGCCAGTGGCCAGGGTGGTGTATTATGCCAAAACCTCATTTCTAAAGGGAGACCTATGGGGGTTTGGGGTATTCGAATTCATAGCATCCAATCTAAAGGAGACGCAGACGAGGGACTTGTCGAAAATTCCTAAATCGTAAATAATGTGCGCCAAGAACTTGCCACGGACTAAAGTTTGCTGTGTGCCATTTACTATTAAAGAAAGTAGGATTTAATAGTTATAGAATACTAGCCGTACCCTACCACGCTTCGCTGTGGCACATTATGATTGCAGTGATCAGAAATGAGGAACAAAAGTACCTAAGTTTAAACACAATCTTTAAAGCGCGTTGTATATCGTGTAAAAATTTGAGCTCAATCGGTAAAGAACTTAACAGTTTTATTTATTTAAAGACATAGTTTAAGAAATTATGAATGTTTCTGGATGGGTCCGGTTTAGGTGGACAGGGCCTATTATACAAAATTATTACAAACTTACTTCAGAAGTCTATTATAGTAAATTACACAATTAAATCAAATTAAAATTCAATCTCTCAAAAGTTAATTTGTGTACTAGTGTATTTAAATAAAAAGACTAATATCTAAAAAAGGATGTACTGATGACTTTAAATTAAAACCTTGTTATAAAATAGAAGGTCTTCCGCGAAAGGTTGATGCGGCTGCGTCGGCGATGCGCATTCTTAAAGAGTATACAATGTGTTTATTTTCATCCTGACCTATGCGGCATAAATACCAAAGTAAGTACCTCCCGAAGTATCTGCACGCTATTAGTACGTGCGGTAGTCAACAGAAAAGGTCTCCGTGTTGTCTTTACAATCAATCTTGCGGGAGTAGCGTTACTGTCACGACTAGGTGGCGTGGCCGTCTGTGTTCGATAGTCCTAATCATATCTAACAATTATATTTGACATTTGCCGCCATAACCTCCGAAAAAGAGCAGTCTCATTTAAACGTCTGATGAATTTAGTTGATAACTTAGTGTTATTCTAGAATCATCTTCAACTCAATACCTTATTTTAAAGGGTACTAAGTTTTTACTACTTTGTTACATCCATAATTCCGTACTTACTTAATATTATAAAATAGTTTTTGCCTACGGATCCGCCCGCCTGTATGTCGGTTATCGCCGTTAAAAGTAGCCAATGTTACTTGCGATAATGTAGCTTATAAAAAAGGCAAAACCTAGAAAATATTATAAATGTGAAACTAAGTTCTTTGCTTTGTTTGTTTGTTACGTCTTCACGCCTAAATCACTGAACCGTAATGTAAGAGAGAATTATGGAAAAGTTAGACAGAAATAATGAGATAAATATACATACGTACGAAATCCATACACATACATAAACACTTACCTAGTTACATACATACATAAACCTACATCTATCTAATATCTTTAAACGAGCAATTCTTGTATATATGTATACTCACATATATAATCTGAATCTCGCAAAACGGCTCCAACGATTTTCATGAAATTTAGTATGCAGGAGGTTTCGGGGGCGATTAATCGATCCAGCTAGGTTTCATTTTTAGAAAATTTATTCAAACTGTCCAGAATGCGAGCTCGAAATTTCAACTCGAATGGGAGGCGGCTAGTTGCTATCCTGATTTCTAGAGGGAGAGCGTTCCAGAGGAGTGCGGACTGGATTAGGAACAAGGAGTGGACACAAGCGGAAGTATGAGTGGGCCATAGTAGAAGAGGATTGTTTGATGAACGAAGGCTTGATATCGAGGCTTAAAAATAGAGCTGCAAGTAATCGGCATAAAGTTGGTACACACATTGAAGATTCGGAGTGATGAGATTGATAAATAATAATAGAATAATACAGGAGAGAGAATACCACCTTGAGGGACGCCACAGTCGAGTTCACGATGAGGATTCGTCGACGCGCACAGACTGTTAGCGCCCTTGATGATAAGACGAAAACTCGTGTCGTGACTGACAGAGTTGAACGCATTTGAGAAGTCAACCAAGGCCAACACTCTGCTCGGATGTCAGCAGTCACTTTTAGCAGAGCAGAAGTTGTGCTATGCCTGGGCCTGAACCCCGATTGGCAAGGGCTAAGTAGGTTGTTTCAATAAATACGTTGGGATTGTTGGTTTTCCGTGTGGTGACGGATTAAGAATACGGAATGTCACCACCCCTATTCATCCCGTGGGTGTCGTAAGAGCCGACTAAGGAAGCAAACTACTCAGGACAACAGCACTCTGCAAAGAGAAGGAAAACTTGACACAAACCCTATACCAACCCGTATGGCCAGCGTGGTATAGTAGGCCAAAACTTCCTTTCTAAGGAGAGGCCTATGTTCAGCAGTGGACTATTATAGGCTGTTGATGTGATGTTTTTTTTTTTTTTTTTTTTTTTTTTTTTTTTTTTTTTTTTTTTTTTTTTTTTTTTTTTTTTTTTAAAGACAACTCCCGCATTAGGAATAAATCCTGTGTCGCGGGGGACTTTACAAACATACATGAAACGGACACAAAGAACACCCACACTCAGAACAACAATTTGTGGATCACACAAAGTGTCGTCCCATGTGGGGTTTGAACACACAACACTCGGCGTAGTAGGAAGCGGCGTGGCGACCGCTTAAACCACTACGCCATCCGTGCAGTCAAGTGATGTGATGTGTTGTTGGTTCACACAAGCCTCGAGGACTTTAGATAGGAAGGGGAGGATGGAGATAGGGCGAAGGTGATTAAGGAGTGTAGGATTAGGGATCTTGGGAAGGGGAGTGACGAATGCTATAGGCTACGCTGAGGGATAAATTCCCGATTCAAGCGAAATATTTGTTATATGCATACGCTGACAATGAATATATTCGGTAGGTGTGCAGCACTACTGGTATTACTGAATACTTATTTTAATAATTATTTTAAATGAGAAGTAATCAGCAGGTAGGTACAGCAAGATATCATGCCTTAAGTATAAAAAAACCACGCGCGCTTATTGGTCAAATCAAAAGCGCACGTTTTTTCTCAATTTCCTGTTACACATTTCCGTTTCTTTACCACGAAATCGCTCCCACATATGTAGGAAAGCGAATGAAAAGATGTCACACTTTTAAAAAGCTAAGATTCTATTAATTCTGGGCTTCTGTTTATTACGAAAATCAAAAAGTAATGATGAATTTTGTAGTCATAACGTGTTTGCCTACAGCCGAAGAAGAAAGTATTCATTGTTGATTAGTTAGTAATAATCTCCGCAATAAATCGTTTAAACAATTACTTTCGCAATAGGTAACTTGTAAATTATTCACTTTATGCTATGTGCTAACAATAAAAATCGTATTTTGTGCACTAATGTCATACAACATACAATGTAACAAAACAACATTGAGTGATAAAAGCAGCGCGTGAATGCGGGTCCTTTAAAATTCGAACGTCTGTTTACGAACTATAGATAACGCAAAATTACGTTTTTACTCCTTAGTATACAATATTGCAAGTGCTCACGTAATTAAACTAACCTTAATTTCCTTGTCACACAAAAATTAAACCACAACACCTCACCACAGGAATGCACAAACAATACTGACTTACCGTACTTTACTCGTTTTGAATTTCATTTTGTAGGTACCTATTAATTAGATTACAGGTACCTAGATATTTTATGGAATAGGTGGTCTATTGTTAAAAATCAACAGCGTTACCTCTGTTATCCATTGTCAAGTTATGTAGATAAGCAAATAATGACACAATAAACAAAACTGCAAATAGTTTTAGCGAATTTAAAATGGTTGTATTTACAATGTAAATAATATAAAACAATAGGTACAAATCAATCAAAAACCGAACACAACACTAAGAAATGACTGTAAAACCACAAATGAACTAATGAAGCTATTAATAACTTGTTTTAGTATATTAAATACCTATTAGAATAAAACTTGAATGTATGTGTACTACAGCAGTACCGCCAATCAACTATTTTTTTTTTATTTCGCGAGGCATTTGGTAACATTTAGGGAAATGTTTATCTAATCAACACATAAATCAAGAATGACTTGTTTTTATCAGAAGATATGTTTTATTACGTCGTCGATGATATTGATCAATTTTATAGTGTGTAAGAGTTATAAGTCTCATGTTGTAAAGATTATTCGTGTTGATGAGAAGAAACTGTGACAGAAAACCGGTCGAGCTTGAACAGCTGGCCTTCATGCTTGAATTTTTCCTGTTTAATATAAATGAAAAATATATTTACTAATACTATTTAAATAAATTGTACACTTTACTGTTTTTTGTATATTTCTAAGTAGACAATGAGTGCAATGGTACTTGAGGAAAGAGGCGAAGCTAGATTTCGGCGATTTGATTGCGTAATACTTACACGAACTAACTGCAATACCAATGTTAGGAGGATTACCTATTAAAATCATTGTTTATGCGTTTTTACTATAAGTGGTAAGTATTCCCAGAAAAGATAATTCACCCTTTTGCGAGGAAAATGCGAAGATGTGTTATATGACTACTCATCTACGGTATCTCCAGGATATCAAAGTATTGATTGACCCTAAGATTCACAACATAGTGGGACTAAAATTGTAGTCGATGTGTGGTTGTTTAACATCTCTCTGAGACACTGAGATCTCTAGTTCAGAAAGGGCTTACCTATGTGTGCGTTGCCCCAGCGGAAAAATTTCGAATTTCAATATTTGAGTTTAATAGATATTTTGTGTATGGTGTCGTGTAATTGTGTATGGTAAGTACGTTTACTTACCATACACAATTACCAATCATTGAGGAGTTATTCACGAAAAATTGTTTCTAATTTATAACGTTTATACATACCTAAGTACCTTGTAAGCATCTACAACGTCTTGCCAAGTATCATTGATGTACGTTCGCGGTCATAAGTCCAGTAGCATTTTTACGAAGTATAACTTTATAACTAGTTGGACTTACGACATTCTTCTATTATCGTATATCACACACACATATACACGTTACGCGCGTATGATTATAGTGACTAATTTCAACGTAATCAATAACTGTCCGTCTGGCGCTGCTGTGGACACTCTGATGCAAATGCCGTCGTTTCAAAACTCATGCAACCTCACAGTAACTTTTTGAGAATTCATGGAATGTGGTTAAAAAATGCAATATTGTCGAATATAAATCTTTGATTCAATATTTTAAACTAGTAGGTGCTACCACTGGGAGTTTAATACGAAGAAAACGTATACTTACATAGGTATCTAGTGTTGTGCACACGTGCATGTAACCAACCAAAATTATGCGTCTGTATTATCTGGTAATATACGTGTGCATTGAAACATCACGCACACAAAGATAGTCACAGAACCGGCATGCGAATATGAACGTTACGGTGCTACTGCATTTATGACCCTTGACTGTACTCTAAGTAATAATGAGCTATGGGATAATTTACCATGACTGGACCACTATTTCACATGCAGTCTTATTGCAGGATATTCTAAAGGAGATGCATAATAAAACCTATTCCAATAATTAGTCCATTAATTAAACTATTCACATGTACTGTATTTCTTCACACTAAATACTTAATTAACGAAATACAATTAAAATACTGACAAAAACCGTAATTCGTACATAACCCGACCGAGATCGGCTACAAAAAAGTGGCCGTGCAGTATATTTGGGTAACATTCCAAAATTTACACCATAATACCGACATTGAATTGGTACAGGTGGTTACACAATTCTTGAATAAAACTTGAAGGGTGAAACAGGTTTTCGTGAATAACTTCCCAATGGTTGGATGCACTTACTTACCATATACAATTACACAACATCATACACTAAATATCTGTTAAACTCAAATAATGAAATTCGAACATTTTCCGTTGGGGCAACGCACACACCCCTTTCTACTTCTTCTCTACTCTCGGTAGACCTCGATCTCAGTGGTCTCAGTGTAGGTATATATGTATTTTAACCATAATTGTCTTATTCTCTTAGTTTTGTCAATGTTATTGCAAAACTAATCCGATAATCGTTAATCTTGTAATGATAATAGTCAGGTAATTATTCATTATGTCAGATATCAAGTTGTGATTCATTTTTTGCGCGTTCGCAGGTTTGTTTTGACCTAATAAATAGATCAACATATGTTCTTTTGGCCGTATTTTATTATAATATATAGATACACGTGTCGGGGAGGTAGGTATCCCGTTTCGGGAATAAAATACTTTTTTCAATAATAGGTATTTAAATCATAAATATTTACATTAATTTACTTTTCTAAATGGACACCCCGTACCTCTTCTATGCGACTGACTGCAACAATTGCCCAATAGTATCCACTATTAGGAAATTGTTGCTGTTGATACTGGGAATAAGCCTCGATGATGACCACAATGGACCAAGTTATAAGGTGAAACCTTCTGTTATTTACAAAACAACCATTCTCATTTTTAATATTTAAAAAATCCTTCTCCAGTTTTCCTCCCTAACTTTCCCTCGCCGACCAACTTATCCAGTAGTGGTATAGGCTTAAAAACAGTGTTCCCCGTCTTTTCCAACATAATATTTAATATAAACTTTTTTGTGTCAAGGCCTGTAAAGTCTGCTAACTCTAATGGCCCCATAGGATACCCAGCTCCAAGTTTCATGGCGATGTCAATGTCTTGAGCGGATGCATCACCTAAAAATAGATATTTATATATTGACAATTGGTTGATTATGATTGGAAGAATCCAAAGCAATAGTTGAAAAGCGCATAATGACTTCACGCACAATGTCCTTTGATTGCGGCTAATTCGGTTTTATTTAATACCTACAAATCACAGACGGCGATCCTAAACTAGGCTGAGCCTATGCTGTGGCAACCCCATGCTGATAAACATACGTATACATTTCTGAATACATATGTATATACAACATTTTAAATTACACCCAGACACAGAACGACAGATCGTGCTCATCGAATAAAACGAATGCATAGACAACAATATTAATTATTACGCACTTATGGCCGTGAAGTTACGACATTTATTATCTATATTATATCGACAGATAACATATATCAGTTAAGTTCATGGGTTTTGCGTGTTGATTTCTCTATTAAATACACGACGTCCTTTATTAGTAGATTTTTTTTTCTTTAAAAGACAACTGCGGCACTAGGAATAAATCCTGTGTCGCGGGGGCCTTTACAAACATACGTGAAACGGACACAAAGGACACCCAGACTCAGAACAACAGTTTGTGGATCCCACAAAGTATTGTCCCATGTGGGGACTGAACCCACAACACTCAGTGCAGTAGGAAACGGCAAGGTGACCGCTTAAACCACTACGCCATCCGTGCAGTCAAAATTATATCGATTCTGGATAGAAAACATCCATACTAAGTAATCCTATTTTTAAATTTTGTCGTATCGTTACGAGTGGCAGAAAACTGCCGTAGAATTGCAAGGACAAATGCAAATACTTCCATTTGCATTAGTCCTTGCAACCCGACTTATCTAATCTATGCCTAGCAAGGCGGCTCTCTCGAGTTCATGCATGAAATAGTGATAAGAAAAACGTAAAATTAAATGCTATATACAGCTGTACTTTACTATAAAGAGGAAAGGAATAATAATAGGAAGGCATATCAATTTCAAATTAATATTAGCACCAATCCTACACTCGTAACATACACACACTCACGACTTTTATCGCCGAAGGGTTAGGCAGAGGCGAATTAAGCGCCCACATTTTGTAGACTCTAATTTTAGTCCCACTTAATAAGCAAGCTTATTGCCGTCAACTGGGCACATATATTTCTAAATAAAGAAAATTATATATCTAAATACACATAATATATAATAAGAAAGGATTTTTAAAAATGCCACCCCTAAGGGTGTAAAATGGGGTTTGGGAATTTATATGAAACTTCGTCATTTTTGGTAGTACTCGTAGCGTTTTCAAACTCAGTTAATACTTTTTATTAAAAGTAATAAAAAACGTTGTTACTAATTTTACAAAACTATCCTTAAAAGGGGGTGTAAGTTTGTATGGAGAATATATCTATAATCTTGATTCATTGTATCCTCTACGATATTTGATTTCGAACACAACGCGGATGAAGTCATATTACACTCAGACACAGAACAAATAATATAATCGTGATCATCACACAATATTTGTCCTGGGTGGGTATCGAACCCACTACGTCTGCACTCTCTGACGAAGGGTTGTACCCACACTAACATATTACAGCTCTGTCAAATCTGACATGTGGTCGCGTCGTATCTGTGGCGCCACCCAACTACCAACTGCGCAATTACAATTACAATATAAACATATTTTAGGTAGCATTATAATAATATTTGACTTAAGTTAATAGGTAATTAGATTTAGATAAGAATTGTCACACAGTAATTTTGTAAATAAATCATTGTAATTTGTGTAAACATATAGCTTGATTGCTAAGTAAAATATTATTGTATACTACCTGGTGCCTGCAATTTCGTTCGCAGTGGATTTGAAAAGGGCTACCTTAGTGAGTTCGATTCCCGGACCAGGCAAAATTTTATAGGGTTTTTCTGAGAGAAAAAAATAGCCTAAGTTACTCCTTATATACACACCTACTTGGTAGTAAAATATTATCAAAATCGGTCCAACGGTTTTGAAGATTACCCGAACAAACAGACAGACAAAAAATATTTAAACTGGTTTAGGCATAGGTATAAAACCTATTATTTTGACATTACAAACAGACACTTCAATTTTATTTATTTGTTATTATTATTTCTATTTTATTCATTCAGAATTTTCTTGAGAATAGGTAAGTTATAGTTACTTAATTTGTTAGAAAAACTATTTTTTTAATAAATAAATAATTCAATTTATTTTTAGTGTTTTTAGGTAGGGCGTTGTTGTTTGATGTTTTTTTGAAGTCGGTATATTTATTTTTTGAAAATTGTTTATTAATTTTTGACTGCACGGATGGCGTAGTGATTAAAGTGGTCACCTCGCCGCCTACTAGACATGGTAATTATTGCTACTTTATATGATGGACTGATTGGTTATAGTCACTGTGATTTCACCTGCTCATAGACAAAGATAAATGCCATCACAATCAATAAATTTGTATTAGATTTAGACCTCTCGTGAGTCTGGCGCTAGCGATAGCGCAATAACAATAATAAGCCGCAGTGGCTTTGTAAATTATTCACAGATGTGATAACGTGACTTATAAATCATATGATTTATCGCAGTTGATTGTGATTTTATTCCATCCCTACTTTCTACTGCGCTGAGTGTTGCGGGTTCGATCCCCACATGGTAGCTTTTTTTTAATATATCTCGCACCTGGCCGTCTGATCCCAACCTAGGCAGAGCCTGTACTATGGTAACTAGACTGCTGATAAACATACTTATATATTTTTTATATTTAAAAAAAAACTAATTGACTGACCGCTTAGTCAGAGGTCGTGGGTTCGATTCCCACCAAGGACAAATAGTTGTGTAATAACGATCGTTGTTCTGTCTGGGTGTAATTTATCTGTAATATGTATGTGTTTACTAATATACATATTAGTATGTTAATCAGCAGTCTGGTTACCATAGTACAGGCTCTGCCTAGTTTGGGATCAGACGGTCGTGTGTGACATGTGTAAAGTTATTTTTATCTATATTTATTAACATATATTAATACATAAAGAAAATTATCTATACCCTTTCTAAACAAATATGGCGCACAAAAGCATATAATGTTTGTAATAATTAAGGTTGATATGCAGAAGAATTGCAGAAAGTTCTGGCTGCACGAATGGCGTAGTGGTTTAAGCGGTCGCCACTACGTCGAGTGTTGTGGGTTCAAACCCCACATGGGACGACGCTTTGTGTGATCCACATATTGTTGTTCTGAGTCTGGGTGTTCTTTGTGTCCGTTTCATGTATGTTTGTTAAGTCCCCCGCGACACAGGATATATTCCTAATGCGGTTGTCATTTTTTTTTAAAGAAAAAGAAAAAAGAAAGAAAGTTAAAATTTATAAAAAAATATGAGTATTCCAATTAAATACTATGTTAAAACCTCTAGATAAAACTATAGGGCTCCAGAGAGCCTTGTGCTAGTTTATTTCACATTAACTCGCTCTCGACGGCGAGTGCGTTTAGCGTTGCGATTGGTGGAGATTTCAGTGCGAACCTCTGAACAGACTATGATACGCCATGTTACAGAATTGAATGCAATAACACTTGTTGAATTAGATTTAATTTTATTTTTGTTTGGACATCTGACAGACAACGTATCTAGTGTCAAACTAAGCAAAGCTTGTACTATGAAAGTTAGATTACTGACTGATAGAATACTTATACACTTTTTTTGTAAATACATACATATTATACATAGAAAAAACCGAAACAAATAATTGGAAATCAAACAAACATTTGGTCTGACCCACGAATTGAACGAATGAATGAATGTTAGAGTGGTCATTGAGATAAGAGGTTCAAACTCGACCGCCAGTTATTATTAATCTTCCTATCAATACTTATAACTTTAAAATAATTGTTTTTCTTGGTAGTAATAACCCTTATCTTAGACGATAAAGTTTATTATACCTAAATAATGTTAGCATGTAGTTACGGAGGCATCAATTAGTGATTGTTAATCTAATCGCCTGATATCTTAACTGTATTAACAGTAATATTTTAAGGATGAAGAGTTTGTTTTGTTTTTTGAACGCTAATCTCAGGAATTACTGGTTCGAATTGAATAATTATTTTAGTGTTGGATAGCCGAGGTCGAGGAAGGCTATTGGCTGCAAAAAATTATGCTACCACCAATAGGAAATGAACATAAATTAAAAATGTGCAAAAATTGGGCAAATTTATTAAAATTATAGTCGAATGTAATTACGTGTCAATCACGCATAAACCGCTGAACCAATTTCGACATATTGCAGTATTGAGACAGCCCGTTTTAAAGACGGACTAAGGCATGCGACTAAGGCAAGAGATTCAACTGCTAAACTTCAATCCAACTGCTAAACTTCAATTCAACTGCTACTTCAATTCAACTGCTAATAATAAATGTAAAAGTTTGTTTATTTGTTTATAATTTGCTTTCACACCATAACTTATCAACGGATCTTCTTGATCCGCTGCCCATGACCAGCTGCAACGGCTGCAACTGTAGAGCCACAAGTGTCGCCATTTGAGCCCTCCCCCTCCCAGAATCAAGGGCCACATCTCCCTCCCAGAATCAAGGGACCCACCCCCTCCCAGAATCAAGGGCACCCCTTCCCAGAATGAAGCCCTCAATCAAGGACGCCTCCCAGGATCAAGGCCTCCCCCATGATTCTGGGAATTTTACACACTCGGTGAAAAGCTGATATTGCTTAACACCAGTTTTCTGTAAGTCTCTCATGACCATGCCTCTCCGACGACCTATTGAATCATATCAAAAACTTTGAGATTCCTTGAGACCTTCATGAAAAAAATAGGTAAGTACATGTAAAAAAACAAATAAATAAAAAAGAGTGTATATTTAGAATACCAATAATCACTTTTTATTGTACTTATAGAAGCCTTCTCCACTCTTGATACCGAGTTTTCCTTCGGCCACCATTTTGTCAATAAGAGGAATTGGCGCGAAAACAGGGTTCTTAGTCTTTTCATACATGACTTGTAAAGCGAACTTGTTGGTGTCTAGACCAGTATAGTCGGCTAGTTCGAAGGGCCCCATCGGGTAGCCAGCACCCAGTTTCATTCCTATATCGATATCTTCTTTTGAGGCATCACCTGCAGACAAGAAATTTAATTGGAATTTTAACGGAGCGATGCCAAGCTCTCACAGAATACCGCTGGTAAGCTAATCTTTGCTTCTCACCGAATGAGTGAGGAGGTTACCGGAGCCCAACCTAACTAGTCCCCCTAATTCTGGGAGGGGGACTCTTGAGTTGCAGGCGTCCATGGGCGACGATCGTCACTCACCATCAGATGACCCACATTTTGTAGTACATGTTTTTATTACATACATACCATAGTATCAAAATGGACTACGCGGGTGGTTAATGCGTAGTGGTTTAAGCGGTTACCACACAGTGTTGTGGGTTCGATCTACACGAGGGACAACTCTTTGTGGGATTCAGAAATTGTTGTTCTGTGTCTGGGTGTTCTTTGTGTCCGTTTCATGTATGTTTGTAAAGTCCCCCGCGACGCAGGATATATTCGTAATGCGGGAGTTGTCTTTAAAATAATGATAATATTTAGATAAATTACACCCAGACACATAACAAATCATACTATTTCTCCTGGGTGAAAATCGAACCCAAACTTTTGGCTTAGCAGTCACAGTCACTAACCACTACACCAACACGGCCGACAGTGTTTGATAACATTATCAAAACGTGTTTTTAAAAATGAGTAAGAAAATAAACATATTCAAAAATATTAAGCAAAACATCTTTAAAACGCACATATATTTTTAAATAAGTCCACCCAGTTAGCAGACAAATCTTTTACTGTGCAAGCAGTAAGACTCTGGAACAACTTGCCTGCAACTATCCGGCAATCTAAAACCTTGCCTGTTTTTTTAAAACTATTAAAGAATTTTTATCTGTCATTATAAATACTGTTAGATTCAAGATATAAAATATCATATATTCTAAATATGTATGTCTGTATATGTGTATGTGTATTTGTATGTGTGTAATGTGCACAGATGTATAATTATGTATGAATGTATTTGTTGATATTTTTAAATATTCACGTAATAATGTGTTACGTGTCTGTATACTACCCTAAATTGTTAAATACCTAAAATCCGTATTAATGGGGTTTTCACGGTAAAGAGTAAATGATAAATGATATTTATTTCTGCAACTAAATCTTTTCAGATGTTTTCAAATCAATCGGACAAATGAAATCGGACTTTACACATTTTTTTTTTTTTTTTCCGTGCGGAAATCCCCTCGGATACCACCTGTCGGTGGCATGTCGGACTCGAACCGACTAAAACCGCACGCCGTCTCGGGTACTAATAGCCGGGGAACCAGGTATACCCTAGAAAGGAAGTCCCTGGTGCCCCGACATACCTCGGGTCATCTACAGACGAGTAGACCCCCCCCCCCCCCCCCCCGTGTGGGAAACCCATGTTCCCTGTGCTCCCTGGGGACTTTACACCTAGAGTGAGCACGCATTTCCTAAGACTCTATGGGAAGCAACACCGAAACAAACCACAGAGGCATCCATTTATTTAGACAGTTTAAACAAAGTTAAAGGAAACTATGCCCGTGTTGAGTCTGGGTAGGCCTTTTGAAGAAAGGACCATAGTGTTGAGTCGGCCTGTCGATACAGACGGCATTCGGGTCCCAGCCATTGTGTAGCTTAACCGATATTAGTCAAGATCAACAACCGACGGCAGGACATTTGAGTAAACCGTGGAAAAACGCAAAACCACAAGAAAGTTTCTAAATATGAACTAACATAAGTAGCCTACACTATACTTACATTTACGTACCTACTTACACAAAAAATAAACAAATTATTTTTTATAAAATAAACAAATAGACCGCGTGGTGACGGATTAAGAGACCGCGTGGTGACGGATTAAGAATACAGAGTGTCACCACCCCTATTCATCCCGTGGGTGTCGTAAGAAGCGACTAAGGGAAAAAAAACTAGGCAGGACAACAGCACTGCAGAGAGAAGGAAAACTTGACACAAACCCTATACCAACCCGTCTGGCCAGCGTGGTATAGTATAGGCCAAAACCTCCTTTCTGAGGCGAGGCCTATGTCCAGCAGTGGACTATTAAAGGCTGTTGATGATGAAACAAATTGAAAACCAACGAAATACAGTGTTACATTAGTTGTTTGTTGTTGTTACCGGAGACCTCAGAGACGATGAAGATATTGAACGTGAGCGAAGGTCTCTGGCGATCAGAGGCAACAGCAACACAGGTTTGCTCATTGTTGTCCAGAGGTTAAAATCACGCTCTGTAAAGCAGTATACGAGCAATCTGTGGGCAATATAATACCGTACAATAATGACTTTGACTGCACGGATGGCGTAGTGGTTTAAGTGGTTGCCACGCCGCTTTCTACTACGCCGAGTGTTGTGGGTTCAAACCCCACATGGGACAACACTGTGTGTGATCCACAAATTGTTGTTCTGAGTCTGGGTGTTCTTTGTGTCCGTTTCATGTATGTTTGTAAAGTCCCCCGCGACACAGGAATATATATTCCTAATGCGGCGTTGTCTTTAAAAAAAAAAAAAAAAAATTGCTTTAGGATGCTTTTGGGACTGCCGCGTTTTAATAGCGCATCTGGTATGTTCGTACCGAGCGAACAAAAGATCTACGTTACAAAAATCCACTCGATGCTTACAAGAATGCGGTCTTGTTCCAATGGTATCCTAACCATGCTAAGCAATACACATGATGCACCCTAGTTGCGTCATGCAATAAGAGTACTAGTGAGGTCAGGAATACAAATAAATGTTGTTATGTTCCTATTAATAGGCTTAAGTTATTGTTCCGAACACATTGGGCCTGGTTGCCATCTAATAAATTATAATCGTTAATTATTATTAGATGTCTTTATTAATGTCCGTAATATGTCCTTAGTAGAATGAAACTGTACTGTAGAATGTTTATATTTCCCTATCCGTTACTACTCCGCTCTTAGAACTTAGAACAAATAAAATAAAAAAAATAAAAAAACTATCATTCGACATATTATCATCGAGAATCTTAACATATACGTATATTTTTATGACTACCTATTTAATTTTTTGTAAAAATAAAAGCTTTAGTCTGTGGTATTCATAATAATCATATTCATTAATTAACTTTTATTTTTCATCAAGGTAACTTGAACGTAACTTTGACCTTAAAATAACATTTATAATTCATTAGTTTTTGCCAGCGGTATGTCGTGGTTTTTGTAGATTTTCTCGAACCATTTAAATCTCTCATACTACTCAACGGAGTTTAATGCGGCTTTCAACAATAGAGTGAATGATTCCGTGTGGTGACGGAATAAGAATACCGAGTGTCAGCCGACTAAGGGAGCAAAGTACGCAGGACAACAGCACTGCAGAGAGAAGGAAAACTTGACACAAGCCTTATACCAACCCGTCTGGCATGCGTGGTGTAGTAGGCCAAAACTTCCTTTCTAAGAAGAGGCCTATGTCGAGCAGTGGACTAGTAAAGGCTGTTGATGATGTTGATGATGATGATGAGAGTGATTTAAGAGGAATGTTTAAGTGTACATGCATATTGTAATAGCGAAAATTAGAGAATTTCAAAAACATGTATCGTAAAAACCTTCCATTGCAAACGCTGGCTAAACCTTTCGAGATAAATCAAAGTAATGTACTAACGAAATGTATATCTTGAAAGATCCACTAAAAGGCCGAGATGGTATATATCTATATCCTAAGGACCTTAGTAACTATTTTTATCTTACGTATTCCAAAATAATAATGGGTTATCTGCAAATAAATTTTAAGCTATACAATATAATTCTTTATCTAATCAATTGTTGGGCGTTTAATTTAGATAAAAATTGCCTTTTCTAGCATATCATTAAAATAAATATCTTAGAAGATATCAGACACTTAAAATGCTTGGGCAGAGCGGCCGACAAGCCGTACGTCCCGCCAGGGTGCTAGCGGCAAGCTAGAGTGACCTCTAAATAAATTATTTGTATTCTCTCATGCTCATGAAAACAGCTGTATATAAAGATATTGTGTTAGGGATGTTAAGAGAGTAGGGGGAGGGTAGGGGGCTCCCTGTACCCTCACAGACACGGTGAAAAGCAACCAAAGGATTCCTTAACACCGTGGCATCACTCCGGGCCAGCACAATCATGGCTGTCCAAAGACTTTTCTAAAAGCTATTAGTGCTTTACCTCATTCATGGTGGACGACGGGTTTGTTGGTCTAGTGGTTAGGTCCTTGTTTCGATTCCTATCTAGGACATTTTTTTTTATGAAAGACACGCATTAGAAATATATCCTGTGTCGCGGGGGACTTCACAAACATACACGAAACGACACAAAGCACACCCAGACTCAGAACAACAATTTGTTGATCGCACAAAGTGTCTTTCCAGGTGGCGATCGAAACCACAACACTCAGCGTAGGAGTAAGCTTAAACCACTACGCCATACGTGCAGTCTAGTGTAATAATAATAATAATAATAAAATAATATATATGTATTTAAAAATACATTCGCCTGCAGGCTCTGCCAGGTGCCTAGTTTGGAATCAGACGGCCGTGTGTGATGTGTAAGGTTATTATTATTAACGGATTACGCATACAGAGTGTCACAACCCCTATTCATCCCGTGGGTGTCATAAGAGCCAACTGAGGGAAAAAACTAGAACACCAGCACTGCAGAGAGAAGGAAACCTTGACACAAACCCTATACCAACACCTCTGGCCAGCGTGGTATAGTAGGCCAAAACCTCCTTTCTAAGGAGAGGCCTATGTCCAGCAGTGGACTGTTAAAGGCTGTTGATGATTATATTAAGGCTACATTTATCTGTCATATGTTGTGGAAAATGACTACACCAACCTCTTTCATACATCCTGATGGCCTCAGCGCTATAAGGCCCAAGAAGCCTGTTCACCACAAATCCAGGGGTGTCCTTACAAGTGATGCAGGTCTTGCCAACGGACTTGCCCCACTCCATCATGGCCTTATAAGTCTCTTCAGAGATATGGTCACCTTTTACCACTTCTAGTAAACGCATTACTGGCACCGGATTGAAGAAGTGGAGACCACCAAATCTGGAATAAATAAATAATAATATTGGTTATTAAATTTTTTATTCTTCCATGGAGAGCCATTCAATCAGCAAGTTTACCTTATGTTTCAAAATTGATAATAACTTCTAAATGAAATAGATCTAGTGCCGGAAAACCTAAAATAATATAATATAAATCAAGACAAGATCATTACTAATTGGACGACCGAATGGCGTAGTGGTTTGTGTAACGGACTGCTATTCCAAAGGTCGCGGGTTTGATTCCCAATATTTATGTGCATGAACATTTAATGTTTGATTTGGTCTGGGTGTTTCTATGTAGGTCCGTGTGGTGACGGATTAAGAATACAGAGTGTCACCACCCCTATTCATCCCGTGGGGTCGTAAGAGCCGACTAAGGGAGCAAAGTACGCAGGACAACAGCACTGCAGAGAGAAGGAAAACTTGACACAAACCCTTTACCAACCCGTCTGGCCAGCGTGGTATAGTAGGCCAAAACCTCCTTTCTCAAGAGAGGCTTATGTCCAGCAGTGGACTATTAAAGGCTGTTGATGGTGATGATGATGATGATAATGATGATGTTTCTATGTATAATAAGTATGTATTTACAAAAAAAAGTATATACATATGTATTTATATCAGTTATTTAGTACCCATAGTACAAGCTCTGCTTAGTTTGGGACCAGATGGCGTTGTGTGAATGTGGTAGAATATTATTATTATTTCATTCTTTATACATATAAATTACATTAATTAATTACATTTTTAAATATATTTATATACAAAAACCACAAAAAAAATACATTTAAAAATATTAAAAATAGTATCCCATCGGTATCGGGTACAGGGACCAAGATATCGGTGGTTAGGACTACAGAGACAGAAACTTCCTCACAATACGTGCCGTATCGAGAAGAACTGCTTTCTGCATCAGACCCTTAATCCAACTGCCTAACGCGAGCCTCTGAAGATGTTGGTCGAGGCTCTTAGCAACTAATCCATGGGCCGATATGACTACCGGTACAATGATTGCCGAATCAACATCCCACATGTCGACAATCTCGTGGGCCAAATCCAAATACTTCACTTGTTTATCTTTTTCAGCTTTCAAGAGATTGTCGTCATGTGGAATGGTAATGTCAACAATCATTGCTCGGCGCTCCAATCGGTCTATTACCACTATATCAGGTTTATTGGCAACAATAGTCCTGTCAGTGATAATAGGGCGATCCCAGTACAACGTTGCACGACCATTTTCAAGAACTGGGTCGGGCACATATTTGTAGTACGGTAACTCTACAGTCACAAGGTTATACTTAAGAGCAAGTTGCTGATGGACAATCCTGGCGACTTGGTTATGTCTATGCAAGTACTCGCCGTTGGCAAGACGAGAACAACCGGAAATTATATGTCTGAGGCTTTCACCAGGACAATGACATGCCCGACAAATGTCTATTGTGCCGTCCTTCAGGATATACTTCCGATAATTATTCGTCATAACAACTTCATCAGTAATTGCAAAGACAAAACCTTCAGTTTCTACGAAGAGGTCACCGAATCGAAGCTAGAATACAGACGCTAGTTGATCTACCTCAGGCCTGCTCAAGGCCCGATAAAAACGTCCATGCAGCTCTTTACCCTTCCATATCTCCTTACGATCAGTAATGTTGAGTACTGCAAATTTGCGCCAGTTCTCTTTACCTAGACCAAGCGGAGTGAGTCCGTTATCAACTGCTACTACATCCCTATGGATATCCACATTAACAGAAAGGAAGTAATTCCTTTCTGGCAACGTGGCAACCGCTTAAATCACTACGCCATCCGTGCTGTCGAAGTTCTTTCTTCATTATGTTGTTTTGAATACAGAAATGTTAAAATTTACACTTACAATAAATTATCATACAAAATATAAAGTACACAGTCGGACGACTGCATCATACGTAGTCACGTGACCAAAATGCCAGTTATGTGGCCTCTTTTTTAATTAAATAAGAAATATATTTTTATTTGAATCAAGGCCAAAATAATGAATTAAATTTTATTTTACAGGTATTATTTTATACACATGAAACGTTTCAAACAACTTTTGAAAAGTAGTCGACTCCCAAATTATTTCGTAGCGTTTCACCAAGTGTATGAGGTTACCCTCACTCCGTACATCTCACACACGGCCGTCTGATCCCATAGTAGGCAGGGCTTGGTAATGGTAACAAGACTGCTGATAAACATATTTACGAGGGCTGCTATTTATGTATCCGGAATAAAAAAGTGAAACAAACATATAGCATTTATTACTTTTCAAAATATTCGCCGTGATGATCGATGCACTTTTGCATACGTTGGAACCAATTTTCGTAACACTTTCAATCACCAAAACGTACATTTTGAACGCATCAACAGCCTTTTCACGGCTTGAAAAACATTGACCACGTAATTTATTCTTCACGGTTGGGAATAAATAGAAACAGTTGGGGCCAAGTCAGGGCTGTGCGGCGGATAACCCGTTAATTCGATCTTTTGATCTTTCAAATACTGAGTTCTTTCGGCAAATCCACAGTGATAAAAACACGCAATTTTCAAAATGACGCCACAAAGGATAAACAAATGTCAGGTACATGAAACAAATTGTATTCTTGAGCCAAAGAGTGGAACTCTTTGGCTCAAGAATACAATTTGTTTTGTTTTTTAAATGTTATAATTACTTTTTTAATATTGTTCTGTAACTGGCCAGTTCCAGATACATAAATAGCAGCCATCGTATATACTAAATACATACATATTAAAGATAAATTACAGTCAGACAGAACAAATCACATAATTATTTCTTGTTATTGCTCATTACACAATTAATTATCCAGGGTGTGAATCGAAACTACGCCCTCTGGCTTAGCAGTCAAGATCACAACACACACTAGTAAACGGTGTGTATGAATAAGTTAATATTTAGTTTAGAGAGTTTTTATAGCTGTCAAAAATGCAGAAGGATGAAGGAATGGTTTAGAAGTTAAAAGATTTCAAAAGTAGGGGCAGTAATTACGACTGCACGGATGGTGTAGTGGTTTAACCGGTTTCCTCGCCGCTTCATACTGCGCGTACCACATGCAACAACAATTTGTGTGATCCACAAAGTGTTGTTCCGAGCCTGGGTGCGCTTTGTGTCTGTTTCATATATGTTTGTAAAGTCCCCCGCGACACATTACACATTTTCCTAGTAAAAGTAGTAGTTTAAAAAATAAATAAAATGAAAATAAGAAAATTACCTGTCTTTCCGTTTGATTCCAGCGCCGATCTCATTAATTGAGATAGACGAGGTGTTGGATGCCAGTATAGTGTGTGCTGGACACAGCTGCAAAGAGGCGGTTTAATGTTAATTGCTTACAATTTGACAAAACAGAGATTGTTGCTTTTGTGTGTGTTGATCTATGACTTTAGAGTCTACATGGAAGTCGATTTCAAACAATTTTGGAAATTTTACGAAATAAAGAAAGTTTGATTTTGAGTTTGAGAATTATTGTAACTGCAAATGCTGCTGCCGACCCTATTCAGTAATTAGTTATTTTTTTGCATTAAAGTAATAAAACTTTATTACTTCTGCGTTTCGTAACTGTTTCATTGTCATAAGTTTTATTTAATTTGTTACAACTCATGAAAGATTTTCCTATATCTGTTTTTATCACCAAGCGAGGTCGAGTGTTTTTAGAAAAAGTAACGTGTCATAATAAAACATCCTCAATCTATACGTATCTATATTTATGTAACAAATTCGAAGTTTATTTGTTTAAATTCGATAGTCTCTGGATATAACAATCAGATTTGAATGGTTCTTTCTGTTCTGTATAGAGTATTTATTGAAGAATCATACAGGCTATAAAATATCACGCTGTGACCCTGAAGGACAGGGCAGTTACCATAAACTGCAGTGTCACCTGCGAGAAACCTCTTTTTTAGAAATTATATATATATAATACACGCATATTAAAGTGAAATTACACCCAAACACAGAACAGATGACGGTGCTTTTCACACAAATATTCATCCTGGGTGAGAATCGAACCCACGCCCCTGGCTTAGCAGTCAGGGTCACTAACCACTGGACCAACAAGCCAGTTTTTAGGGAACATAAGATCCCTCCAGCACTGATCTGGTTACAAAGCAGATTACAATAACGGCGAATAACACTTTTTGCCCCGCACAACCAATCTGTGGAACGGGTTATCATCTGCGGTATTTCCGGACCGATGCGACCTTCGTGAAAAGAGCGTACTACTTCCTAAAAGGCCGGCAACGCGTTTGTGACTCCTGAGTTGCAGACGTTCATGGGCGGCGATGGTCACTTTCCAACAGGTGACCCGTCTGCTCGTCTGCCACCTCTAACATAAAAAAAATGTAGTTTTAACATCTGTAATTACTCACCTGGTCGAGTTTATTGAACAACTGTTGTTTTACATCCAGCTTCTCAACAATAGCCTCCACGACCAAGTCCACATCAGCTCCGTCTTCCAAATTGGTTGACACTTTGATTCTGTCGTAGGACTCTTTAACAAAGCTGTCAATCTTGGCAGCATCGTCCTTGTACATCTTCTTGCCAACCCGCGTCAGGTTGGAGTGTATGGACTTCTGGGCTTTTCCCAGAAGTTCTGGTTTCACATCTATGATTGTCACATTCTGACCGGCTTGGGCTGCAACCTTTAAAATTGTGTCCATTTGTGTTTGAAATCATTTTGTAAGTAATACATTTATATAAAAATTTGTAGTTTGTGCTGTCATGGGATAAGTTAACGATTATGTTCACGGGAAACATGAGATTCAGGGTTCGTTTCCTGTCAACACAGTTCAAGACAGTTTCCTCAAATATCATTTTTTTTCGCTCAGATAGTAATGATTAGGGTTTGCTTAGTTTAAAGGCTTATAGTTCAGTTAAAGGTTGTTTAGCTGAACTCGGTGTGGGCAGTATTTGATTGGTTTTGAGGCCAAAAAAAATGATATTTAAACAAACTTAACGTCATTTGAAAGCTGAAGACTTGAACTTTAAGATACCCCATGTACTTTTTTAGACATAATAAAATTTGAAGAGGTACGTAACCTCAAAAACCGTTGCGTGCGTTGCGTTTTTTGCACTTTTAGGTTAGATTATCTCAAAAACCTGATGTGGTAGAGCAATTCTGCAGCCGGATTTAGATGCAGATACCAAAATCCCACTAAAAAGTATACTCTTGTTTCTGGGGAATAATTTTGTTGGCCTGTGTAATTATTGCAAAGAATAATAAACACATAATAAAGAAACAATGGTACTGCTCAGTCACATCAGTAGAATTTTATTTTATTATGTTGTAATTTTTTACCTATTTTGTATGGTTACATACGCAGTGAGTACCTACCGTCAGAAGACTTAAAATGTGTAATTTTTAAGCTTTTACCATTAACACTCTCAAGATTTGCTGAAAAAAACTTAACTATGGGTTAAAATCACTATGTTATTTTCCTTGTCGAAATACTAGCTATTCCCCGCTGATCATTTCAGCATTTCTAACTGAAAATTCCAACCGGTCATCCCTTATTTTACCCCCTGAGGGCAGAAATTTAAAAAAAAACTTTTATTAGTGGGTACTTAAAACATAAAAAGCATCAACTGTAAAAATTTCAAGTTTGTAGCCCCCACGGGTTTAGGCTCTGCGTTCATGAATTAGTAAGTCAGGGCTAATGGTTTTAAATATAGGTGTACGGTTATACTATGTGTGGATTATATATGTATTTATACTGCGTACAGTGAAGAATAAATGAATACATATAAGTTGATACATAATTTATTTAAAAATGTATGAGAATTCATTTTTATAATATGTTTATTGTTTTGTTATGTAAATGTGATGTGTTACGCCAATTAATTATGCTTTGTGTGTTGAAGCGGGTTATTGTCCTACCGTACTACTCAAGTGTTCACACTTAGCGTCACTCCAACTTGACCAATTTTAGTTGGGCTTTTTCAAATAATGAGGCTTTTTCTGAGATACAAAGAAAATGGATAGAAATCGTGTTGGAGTATAAATTGAGAAGAGAGACAGTTAGATGATTTTCGATACATATCAGAAAGCCAATTCTAATATCAAAAGTTCGGACACAATTCAATTGTCGATCTCACAACTGCTCATAAGTGTCATTAGTATTTAGTATTTAAATGGACCACTCTAATTAATCAGTGTATGATCAGTAAGCAGTGGAATTAAAGTTCAGCCTCATAAAATACAAAACAATATTTAATTAAAAAGAAACATTTGTCTCTACAAAAATTAAAATTCCCTACATTTTTTAATTAAATAAGAAAGGTTAAATAACATACATGGTTATTGGATAAAATCTGTAATTTTTAATTATTTTATTCCCTCGACTATAATGAAGAATAGCTAAACGCCATTTCGTTATTTAAGTAATCTTTACCCTTATGTAAATGTATGAAGGTTATTTATGTACAAAGGTCATTAAACAATCACCTTTAACCAATATTGTATTTTCTGAAGTATACTTAATCACTGTTGGTTTTTATCAAAAACTTTCAGATACCTGATAAATACTTTAAATTTATCTTTAACTGTTGATTAACTATAATAAAATAGAAAACTGGCTTACCTGAGCGATCCCAGATCCCATAAGGCCACCTCCGACGACTGATATCGTTTTAATTGCATTTAAAGACGAAGAACTAGAAAAGTTTCGCGTAAAACCAACCAATTTGTTCATTTTGAATTATTATCTATGTGGTATTCCAACGAAAGCCGGCCGCGAAATGACTTGTCGGTGTAAATAACAGTATCTTCCAGTAACAAACAAGTTATATCAACGGAATTGTTATAGGTATATACGATATTGATAACGTTTGTGATAACAAGTTCTAGTTAGAAGGGAATTGAAATGGTGTACATACCTGCCATAAAGGGATTTGGTTCTTGACATGATAACAAACACATTTTGATAACTTTGAAATAAAATATGACGAAGATATTAATTTTTTGATATGAAATAACACATCGACATTGTATAAACAAATATCCTCCAAACGTTTCGTACTACGAATTTAAAAATTTTGTTTTTGTTAACAATGTTTCTCTTTAAACAATATACTACATTAACACTGCAGTATTACTCCAAGTGTATAATTATTGATTTTTTATAATCCAACTTGAAACTTATTTCTCTTGATTATTTTGTAGCATAAACAGAGAAAATGAAATCGATCAAAAAATACCGTACGACGAAACGTAAGAAGTAATCTTCTATAAATCTATTCTTTTAGTTTGATAATTTGTCAATCAATTTTGACATATGGGTCTCAGTTCTGAAATAAAGATTTTTAATTTCCATTTTCATTTATGTTTTAATTTGATCAAGCCCTTTACACTAACAATGCTTTCCTTATATTGTTTTAAGACTTTTTAGAAGGCAATTCTAAATAAAGCTAAGATACTCTAACAACTTTAAATAAAAATAAATAACGTACAATATTCATTATACATTTTGAATTTAGACACATTTAAAATAGTTAAGATCCACAAAGATTAACATAATATATGTTCTGAGGTATTAGGTGTTAAACATTTTAAGTAAATGTTTTAATTGATTTAAAAAACTAAATTTATATGTCTGATGACTAAAATCCACAATAAAAACTATGTTCAGTAGTAACTGAACATAGTTTATATTAGGAGTACCTAATATGTGTGTTTCCAAATTGTATGCATAATTCATCTCAAAATATTAATTTATCTTAAGTAGTAGCATGTAAGTATACATGTTCAGTTTTAAAAACTTCTGTTTATTTTCAGTCTTCGGATCACTGATAAACTTCACAGATTAGTATAATGTAGCAAGCTAATAAACCTAAAGTCATTAAATTATAATAAAGCCCTTTTCTTCCGAATTTGCTACTGATTTGACAATACATATTTCCGAGTTCTATTTATTATATTATGTCTCGCAATTCGGTGCGCCTCTTGCTCCTCCTCTCCAGCTCTCTCCACTGAGCTCTATCCTCTGCTACTCTAGTCCAATAAGGTCCCAAGGTTAGGCGGATATCGTCTTTCCATCTAGTTTTCGGACGTCCCTTTCTTCTACAATCCTCTCTTGGGTGCCATAAGGTGACTTGTTTGCTCCATTTATTTAGTTTGGAACGTTGCATATGTACTGTCCAGCCCCATTCTAAATGGTCTATTCGAGTTATTATATCTGCAACTTTAGTTTTCTTCTTTTTCAGAATTTCTAATTTTATCACTAAGTCTGAGTCCCAACATGCTCCTTTCCATTGCCCTTTGTGTACTAGCCTAGTCATTAAATTAATGAAAGATTATTGAAACACACATGAACTTGTAAACTATAAACTAGTTTGCCTAAAAGTTTTACGATTTTAATTAACATGTTTTTTTTTATTACAACGAATTCATATTTTATGGTCAAGTTATCGAATTCTAAAGATTGTTGGATATAATGAGATTGTTATACTGAAGTATATATACTTGGCGATCTCTGTACGCTTATCTGAAAGATTATGTCAAGTATAGTAATCTTTTAGATGCTCCGTAGAATAGAACGATATCTTGTTATATTATTCTTTTCTTAATGTGAAAATTAAATTAGTACAATAATGAGAAAACTACTGTATGTTATTAGCAATAGTAACAAACCTATCGATTTTGTCCAATACCTCATAAAAATAATTTAAATCTGTATAAATCAATTATTAATGCTCCGTTAACTTTGTAAGAAACATCATCGGCCAGTTGCCCTGCCCGATGCGATAAATGTCTACTGTCAATTGCCCCGTCCCGCCCCTCCTACGCCCGTACGACCCCTCTGTCGTGAACTTTGGAGTGTTACTTTTACAACTTTGATACAAACTTTATTATATTCTTATTTAACACAAATAATTTATTTGTAAGCTGCAATACAAAATCTAAAATGATTCAATTTGGCGTAATTGTTAGAAATTTCTCAAGTTCATCAGCAGTACAAAGTGCAATCAAGAATGTAACTGTTATTGGTGGTGGATTAATGGGGTCCGGCATCGCCCAGGTTAGTCAAGAATTAGGCATAATATTAAGTAATTGAATGGTTATTATTAACCAGCGCTGTACATATTGTACAGGGACACCTAGGCCAATAAAATAGAGTGTAAAACCCGAGTGTAAAACACTGCTACCCACAGGTCTTCTTTAGAAATATTTTAGTAATCAAATTATGTAAGTATGTACTAATTCTACAATTTGCTCATAGTTATCTGTATTTGAAACTTTTTATGCTAGTCAAACACTTAAATTGTACCAAAAAGAAAGGTATTAATTTACAAATACATGTTGACCTATGGCTAGAACAAATTTACATATTATCATCATGTCCCCAAAATTCTTTTTTGTACATTCAGGGCTTAATTGACCTATATTTTTGAGCAGTAAAAACTTCTTTATAGTTTCAGTGTTGAAGATAATAGGTGAATAAAGTAAAAGATTTTAAGTCATGCTTGTTTGTAATAGTTTTAAAGCATACTCCTTCCTAAAAGGCCGGCAACGCGTTTTGACTCCTGAGTTGCAGACATTCATGGGTGGTGATGGTCACTTTCCATCAGGTGACCCGTCTGCCCCCTCTAACATAAAAAAAAACTTATGTTCTTTGCAGGTGTCAGCCCAAGCTGGTCAAAATGTAACATTGGTAGATGTGAGCTCAGATGTTTTGGCAAAAGCACAAAAATCAATTGGAGCAAATCTTGGACGGGTAGCCAAGAAAGTGTACAAAGACAAACCTCAAGATGGCGAAAAATTTGTTACTGAAGCTCTGGCGAGGATCAAGACATCTACAGACCCAGTAGAAGCCTCAAAGACCTCTGATTTAGTTGTAGAAGCTATTGTTGAAAATATTGGTGTGAAACACAAGCTTTTCAAGCAACTTGATGAGGTATGCCTCCTTTTGAAGTTGTGTGATACATGTATAAAAAAACGGTAAAAAAAATCATGTCTGTTGTATGGGAGCCCCCCTTAAATATTTATTTAATTCTGTTTTTAGTAATTGTTGTTATAGCGGCAACAGAAATACATCATCTGTGCAAATTTCAACTGTCTAACTATCACGGTTCATAAGGTACAGCCTGATGATAGACAGATGGAAAGCAGAGTCTTTGTAATAGGGTCCTGTTTTAACTTATGGGTACAGAACCCTACAAACTATCATCCTTCTTCAAGCCTTTTCCCAACTAGGTTTAGGTCAGCTTTCTGTTTAGTAAGACATGGCCATGAATTTCAAATTTTTACATAACCCAAAACCTTGGCAACATCGAAGTTATGTAGATAGACTGTTGTCACAATTCCTTCAACTACCATGCACAGTCTCGGCAACGGCAACTCGAATGGACGGCTTAACATGCTCTCTGAGGCATCAAGGGGTATCAATGTGCTAGGAATGGTCCCCCATCCTTAGGCTGACCTGGCTTGCTGGAATTAGCTTTGCAACGTACTAACATACTCTGATACCACTTAGCCATTTTTTCCTCTAAGCCTTTTTTCCCTAACTAGGCTTGGGTCGGTTTTAAGTCTATGATACGGATGAACTTCGTTTTGTTACGTGTAGACGCCATCAGACCACTTAGCCATGATGTATAAAAAATAATTATTTATATTACAGGCAGCTCCAGCTCATACAATCTTTGCATCAAACACATCTTCCTTGTCCATCAATGAAATTGCATCAGTTGTTAAGAGGAAAGACAAGTAAGTATAAAACACTACTGAAATGTATAAATTAACTGAGATTATCCTGTTTCAGTACTATGATTTGCATTGTATGTGCTCTGTAAGCCCGACTCTCTGTAAAGGCGCCCTACGAACTATGCCTAAACAACACTAGCACTGCCCTGTTTTTGTTTACTTGTCGCCTATAGGTATTTTACAGCAAACAGTGAGTTTTTAAGACAATCAAAGTATAGGAAGTTATAGTGACCCTTTATTTGCATCCAGGAGTGTAGTTTACATAAAATTGTAGTCATTAAGGTAGAAGGCACATTCTGAAGTTAGGAGAAGATTATACCAGAACATTTTAAGTAGTCATACAGTTAGCCTTAGGGCTAACGAGACCAAGAGGTGCATAGAGGAGAGGATTTTTTTCAAAACACTTGATAAAAAACAACTTTGTGCTATAAAGTGCATACATGTTTACAAGACAAAATTAAAATGTTCGTGTGGTAAATTTTTTTGCTGAGTGGTATAAAAATACCCGAGACAGCACTGACCCTTATATAGTTGCGGTCAATGCGTATTGTACATTCAGTTTTGGCTGATTAATTTTATGGCAGGCCAATCATCTATGGGAAATTTGGTCAAGACAATAAAAAAGCCTTGAAATTGCTAGGTACCAAACATTACCTAGTTATTTTTTCTTAGTTTTTTGATAGTAACTGAATAAGGTTTAACATACACATCAATGATGTTTATAACTGAAATTTACGAATGTTATAAACAATAAAAAACATGTTAGATTTGCAATCCATCATTTTCAGATTTGGTGGACTTCACTTCTTCAATCCTGTTCCGGTTATGCGACTCTTAGAAGTCGTTAAAGGTGCTGAGACTTCTGAAGCAACCTACAAGTCAATGATGGAGTGGGGCAAGGCTGTGGGCAAAACCTGCATCACATGTAAGGACACCCCTGGGTTTGTGGTCAACAGACTTTTGGTGCCTTATGTCTGTGAAGCTATTAGGCTGTTTGAAAGAGGTTAGTATCCAATGAGTTCGTGTTTCTAACTTTGAAATTAATGAACTGCCATTCAACCGTTCAGATTTAGACTCTGTGTTGATGAATCAGTGAGTCAGTCACTGCATGTAATTTTATATCCATAAATTACTTAGACAACATAGACAATATTATACTTACAATATAGACAATAACAAAATTATAGGTCAACTAATTAAATAATTGTAAGTTGTAGTTTTTTTTTTAATGCAGTTATAAAAATAATTAATAATTAATCTAATTAGGCACTATTAAAAAAGAGATTTATTAATAACAACTTTAGATAATTGTAAGTAGTTTCAGAAAGAAATACAGTACATTAAATTAATGATGGTTTATTACCCTCATTATTTTATAACAGTGATACACATTTTCGTTCTTTGCCGAAAAGATATGGACTTGGTTTATTTCCATTTGCTTCTATCATTTGTTATTTCATTACTTACTACCTTTCTAGTCATACTCTCTTTTATTCTACGTTTTGTACTATACTATCAAACATTTATTACACTAGGAGACGCATCAGCTCGCGACATCGACATCGCCATGAAGCTTGGTGCAGGCTACCCAATGGGCCCCCTAGAACTGGCTGATTACGTAGGATTAGACACCAACAAGTTTATCCTAGATGGCTGGCACAAGAAGTATCCAGATCAGCAACTTTTTAAACCTATTCCGTTGTTAGACAAGCTCGTAGCGGAGGGCAAACTAGGAGTCAAGAGTGGTGAGGGTTTCTACAAGTATGAGAAGAAATAAAATAAATATTTATTTGTCAATAGTTGTTGATCAGTGTAAGTAAAGATATTAATCAGTTTATTAAATATATTTCTATTTTAATTGTTGTTTTACTAATAATGCTGTAATGAGCAGCATATTATCTATACAGTATGAATTTCTAGTATCTAAGCTTCAGAGTGTGGAGTCTATCGCCACGCCGCCTATTACTGCGTTAAGTGTTGTGGGTTCGATCCCTACATGGGACACCACTTTGTGTGATCCACAAATTGTTGTTCTGAGTCTGGATGTTATAAGTGTCTATTTCATGTATGTTTGTAAAGTCCCCCACGATACAGGATTTGTTCCTAGTACGATATTACACATTCCTAAATACATACGTAATGTGGAAGTTGCCCTTAAAAAAAAGACTATAAAAAAGCTAAGCAATCCACTCTATTGGTATTTTTAGTAATTAAAAATCTTTTAAATAGTTTAACTGATAGTAAACAGATGACAACACTGACTGCAGTAGAGTACTGTTTCGTAATCATGGCAAGTCATAATTCAAAACCCTTGGGAGATTAGTCAATGGTAGGATAAAAGTAAGTACATACCAGTAATACTAATAAAAAATATGTATTTAGATAAAAATGAGAAAGGTAAAACTTATTCAAATAACGAAGTTTATCAGGGATCGTAGTCGTCGTCCTCTCGCTTCCGTTTTTGTGATATTTGCTCATCTATTTCCATTTTGAGGGGCATCTGAGCTGAGGGACCTGCAGTAACTCTGACAGCAGGTTTTGCCACCACCTGAAGAAAATTATTTAAATGTTAATAAATTTGCTATTTAGCAATCATATAATTCTGATCCTAAACTAAATAGCAAATGGATATTATGTTCCATACATAATTATTTTAATTTGAATTTAATCTTCAATATCTGGCTAAAGAGTCAGTACCACTAACCTAGATAATCCTGACTCAGAGGGCAGAAGGCCAATTCTCATAATAAAAGTTCCCCAATCTCACAACTGTCATAAAAAGTATTCTTGTAGTAAAGTATTAAACATCAAACGTTAACTGTAATGTGATTATATCGTATTTTAACCGAAAATTGAATCTATAATCTGCTAGTCTCAGTACTACTTTACAATTTTGTTGTTTGGAACTGAATTTTGATGAACTTTTATTAAGAGAATAGGCATTTAGGTGACAAAAAGCCTACTATACAGTAGTTATTTTTGGAGCATATTTGTTTATTTTATCATAAACAGTAGAGTTATTCAGATACAGGTATATTGATACCTTACCTGATTAATTTTACTGTTTTTAGATGTAAAACACGTTAAAAACAGAGACTTCAAAAACCCTCACCTTACTAGAAGTGAATTTGAGAACAGGTTTTGGAACAACTGTCAGTTTAGGTGTATTAACATTGACAATGGCACCAGGTGGTCTCTTCACCACAACATTTTGTTGGCTGGTCATTGGTTTTGATGTGGTCACTGTCTTGAGGGATGGGACAGGTGGAACTACAGGTTTGGTAACAACTTTCTTAGTAGCAGCTTTGAGGCGATAGTTGCATGAAGAAAGACAGTATCTGAAAAATAAAACGATTATCTATCACTTAAATGAAAAATAAAATATATATATTTTTTTTATTTCATACATCATGCACTTTGGGTGCATTGGCGGACTTAATACCTAAGGCATTCTCTACCAGTCAACCTTTGGTTGATGCAGAGAAAAAAGGAAGTAGGTGCATTTTGGTTGAAATTAGTTTTGTAATAGTACTATCAAATACACATACATAAACTTATATATATATATATAGCCCCTTATACCAAAGTAAGAGATTACACAGGGTCATTTTCATGTTACATGATTTTAGTTACACTATGTCTCTTAATTCGGTGTGCCTTTTGGCATAGGCCTCCTCCAACGATTTCCATTGTTGTCTGTCCTGAGCAACCCTTCTCCACAATGGTCCCACTGTCAACCTGATCTCATCTTCCCATCTTATGTTTTGCCTTCCTCGCTTCTGCGTCCATCCCTTGGGTACCATTCTGTAACAGCTTTGCTCCATTTCCCTTTATTTTCCCGCATCATGTGACCTACCCATCTCCATTTCTGCTGATCGATTCGATTCAATACGTCGGTGAGTTTAGTTTTTAGACGCAGGTCCATATTTCTCACTTTATCCTGTCGTTTACATCCTGTCATGCTCCTTTCCATTGCTCTTTGGGCTATGGCAAGCTTTTCCCTTAATATTTTAGTAAGGGCCCATGTTTCGCAGCCGTATGTTAAGCATGGTAGGATACATGAGTTGAAGGTCTTTCTCTTCAGTGACATGCTCAGGTCCTTTGACTTCATTATTTCCTTGAGCGACCAGTATTTCCTCCATCCAGTAGCGATCCTGAAGTTGATTTCTTTTGTCATTTGATCTTTGGTTGAGATGACTTGACCCAAATAACTATAATCTGCCACATACTCCAATAGTTCGTTATTAATGCTGATGTTGGTTTTTCGGGAGTTTGTCATTAATTTTGTCTTAGTAGTGTTCAATTTTAGTCCGACTTTTATACTTTCTTCTCTTAGATTTTGTATCATATATTCTAGCTTTTTGGGGCATTCTTCTAGTAGTACTAGGTCGTCGGCGAATCTTAGATGGTGCATTCTAGATCCGTTTATACTAATGCCATATTCTTCCCAGTTTAGTTTACGGAATAAATTTTCCAGTACTGCGGAAAACAATTTTGGGGAAAGTGGGTCCCCTTGTCTCACACCTCTTTGTATTTGAAATTCACCTCCCAACGTCTCTAGCCGAATCCTAGCTTTGATATTGGAGTATATGCATTTTATAATTTTGATATATATGGTTGGTATTCCTTGGTGTTCTAGGCTTTCCCAAATATACTCATGACTCAAGCTATCAAAGGCCTTGGCGTAGTCTATAAAGGCTATGAATATATCCTTATTGTACTCGTTGTATTTCTCAAGTATTTGTTTAACAGTATGTATATGGTCAATGGTTGAAAATCCTGCCTGCTCGACTGGTTGTTGTTCGTCTAATTTAAGGCTGATTCTGTCTAGTATTATCTTTGAGAAGACTTTGTATACATTGGATGTCAGACAAATAGGTCTATAGTTTTCTATGTCTTCTTTGTCTCCTTTCTTATGTAATAAGATGATATGAGATTCTGACCATTGCCTAGGAATATTGCCAGTTAGTAGAATGTCGTTAAAGATTCTTGTAAGAATGGGCACCAATTCTTCTATAGTTCCTTTCAACAGTTCATTCGTTATTTTGTCTGGGCCAGGAGATTTATCCATCTTTTGGCTATTGATTGCCTTTTCGACTTCGCATGTTAGAATTTCAGGTGTAGGGTCAAAATTCGATTCATATGGTATTTTGGTCTCGTTGTGATCATTTGATGCATCCTCTTCTTGTTTAGTATACAGTTGTCGATAGAAGCTTGTGGCTCGATCTTTGATACCTTGGCTTACCTTACATAAACTTATCATACACTAAAACCTATACACATTATAGTTAAGTACCTACATATACCTAAAAACATGTAAAAGAACATATATATGCAAACAAATACACTTAATGATATTAGACGGCAATCATGTATCACTTGATTCTGCCCGTTGTGTAATAAGATACTGCTTTAATTTTATTTTGAACTAGCTGAGACTAGTTTGTTGTTATAACCGCGGGCAACGCCGCGGGGCGAAGCTAGTCTAAAAAAAGTAGCCTAAGTTACTCCTTATGTCATCAGCTATCTGCCAGTGAAAGTCCAGTGAAATCGTTCCAGCCGTTCCAGAGATTACCCGGAACAAACAGACAGACAGACAAAAATTGAAAAAAATGTTATTTTGGCATATGTACCGTGTAAACATACATATGCATTTAGTAAAAAGCGGTTATTTTAATATTACAAACAGACACTCCAATTTTATTTATTTGTATAGATGAGAACGTGTTGGTGGCCATCCTGACTTCGACGGAAATCTCATTCTAAAGAAAAATATTAAATACATATTGGCAAACGAGCATGAGGTCAGCCTGGTAAAGAGCCATCCATAAATTACTGAGGTTAGCCTGGTAAATTACGTCACACGTTAAAGAGGGAGAGGGTATCACCGGAATGTGACATTGTGTGACAAGAGGCAGGGGAGGTCAAAAGTTTTGTGAAGTCTTATGTTAAAATTTAAAATATTAAAACCATTACACCTTTATAACATGGAAAAAAAAATATAAATAGTCAAATAATTTTTCAAAGTGAAATTTAAAACATTGAATAAATTTGAGCCGTTCAAACGCCACCATTTAGCGCGCGCTTTTGATGACGTCATTGGTTGTGTCCCGTGTTTGTTTACTATAGCGTTTCAGTTACTTCATACTTATTTTCAGTTTTAATTTCTATACAAATCATGGAAGAAGTTAAAAAACCTTCTTACAAGTATTGTATGGTACCGAAGTGCAAAAACACTATTATCAGTACACCCGATAAACTGTTTTTTCGTATTCCACGCGATGCGAAACTACGAAAAAAATGGTGTAAGATGATGAGAAGGGATAATGTATCTCCATTATCGGTTGTATTTTGTTGTGAAGATCATTTTAACGTAGGTATGCTATATTTATGTTCAGCTTAGTGTAAATTAATTATTAAGCAGTAGTAGATTGGATCTAAAACTAACCTAGTTTACAAAAATTTCTCTAAAGAGCTTGATTATTCCTATTGCGGTTTAACGAAATTTTGATGATTCATAATTAATTTCAGGTTAAGGAAGATACAGTTAATTATATTGAATATAACATAATGAAACAGAACAGAGAAAAATGTAATCTACGGTTAAAGAAAGGAGTTGTTCATCATATCTTTTTTTGTCAAAAACGGAATATGCCACCACCAGCTGAAAGAATGGCCATAGTTAAAAGGCAAAGACTATCACTGGTAAATGAAGCTCTTTTAGAGTATGCTATCAAAGGTAATAATATTTTAGAAATTGGTGAACCTTCACAAAGAAGTGATTACGAAGCAAGTCCTAGTACTTCCCATACAAATGTATGTGATATTAATCAAGCAGGACCCAGTACTTCCCATATTGAAGTGAGTGATGATCATCAAACAGAGCCCTGCATTTCTTATATTGAAAATAAATTACAGAGTGACAAAGCTGTGCAAGTCAATATTAAACCAAAGTACAGAAGTAAAGGTGTCAATGTAAATATACCTACTGAAAGAAAAATGTAGGACTATAACCATTACCTCTTTCATTACACAATATCGGAACTTCACCAACAAAACTATATGTTTAAAAAAAACAATGTTCGCTGATAACCGGGCTGCTTGTACTTCTATATCATGTTATTCTTCTGTTACATCCGCTGATTATGCACCAAGTTGTTCATCAGTTCAGTGCAAGATGATTCAGGAGGACGAGAAACATTTTAAAAACGTAATGTATAGTAGCATGCTAAGTGCTATTGAAAAAGGGCCAAAAATGTTGCTAGGATTACCTAAACAACCATATCATTTAATAAAACTTTTAAGTATAATATCCCACTACCTACTGTAAAAAATTAAATGAGTCCTTTAGCATATTGGCATTACAATTTGGATATTCACAATAGGAGTCTTCTCTAAAAGTATACCCCTTATTGCAGCAAAACTAATAGACTTGATTGTGTGGCCAACACCTTCAGACACTTACAAAAATTTACCTTTAAGGAGTAACACCACATTTACAAAAATTTTCTTTTAGGAGTAACACCAATAAAGGTCGCGACATGACCATTTACGTCACATTTCGTTTCGACCAATGGTGACGCGTTTTGTAAGTTTGAATTTCCCTCCCTTATTTTTCGTTTACTATATAATATTTTCTGGGTTAAATAATAACTAATTTAAAAAAAATCCTTTTAAGTATAACGTAAAGACTATAAAGAATCTAGAAAATAAAATTTAAGATATATCCTCAGTAAACTTGTATTGTCATTGAATCAAAAACTTCTTCTTGATACTGTATTCTCTAGTAAATAAGTATAGTACCTGATGAGTAAGAGATAAGTCTGGGTGTTCTTTGTTTAAGTTTCATGTGTGTTTGTAAAGTTCCCTATAACACAGGATATATTCCTAAAGCGGGAATTGTCTTTTAAAAATAAATAAAAAATAGTAAGTGAGTATGACAGTAAATCTAGATTTACTAATAGCCCTTATCCTACACAGTAGAATTATATTCAAGAGTAAAGCCAAATAGCAGCAAAAGGGTAGAATGTTGACTATAATCATATTTATGTGAAACTGTAGGTGAAGATTTGTAATCCATTTAGTGGTTTCTGTATCAAGGTGAGCATAAATAGTGTGAACTTAATGTTTAACTAATATACAAAAAAGGTTTTTATCACAATAAAAACAATATACTGAAAATGTAATTTAAAATTCTTAATAATCAAACAATTGAGAGAAACTGGCTAAACATTATTGTGGTATTTTTGTGAGATTGGCATATTAAAAATACCACACTATAATCTTTGTTGACGGATTTTTTTTAAAGTTTCAAAATCTAATGTGAAAAAGATCAATATAATAAAAATAACATATAGGTGGCTAGCAGTGTAATGAAAACGTTTAAGGAAACAACATATATTGACGTCACTAGGTGATCAATCAAAAACATTTCTATAAATACCCTGCATACTGAGACAAAGTCTTTGTCATTATTATAATACCACACCCATATGTAAATACTGAGTATGTTATTTATGTAGTCATCATCATCATCAACAGCCTATAATAGTCCACTGCTGGACATAGGCCACTCGTTGGCAAGGAGGTTTCAAGGAGGTTTGTTTCAAGTTTTCCTTCCCTTTATAGTGCTGTTGTCCTGGTAGTTTGCTTCCTTAGTTGGCTTTTAGAACACCCACGGGATGAATAGGGGTATTGACATTCCATATTCTTAATCCATCACCACACGGGCTTATTTATATAGCCTTAGCCAATATTCGCAAAGAATAAATACAAGATTTTCAGTGTAAATTATTTAATATCTTACCTGTCTGGTGGCAACCTCAGTCCGCAGTGTGGCTTTATCATGGGCAATGGATTAACATTCTTAACTCTAGATAACTCCAATAACACTTCCCTCGGCGGTGGACTGGTAAACGATTTATCCAACTGCATCTGTGCAGCGAGCCTGACGTCATCCAGATCAATGGTCTTTTTCTTCGCGTGGTTGGCGAAAACTCGCGCGTCATCTAATACTGATGTTACGTAGCGAAAAGTGAACTCCAGGAGCTGGTTCACGACGCGAGGCTCATAATCAGTAATGCCGACCTCTTTCATGATCGACATTATTACCTGAGCATCTTTGGGTATGTGTTTTGTTTGGACATTCCCTTTTGATTTGTCCTTTTCCGACATTTTGTAGTTGTAGCTTACAACAAGACTGAATAAAGTTGAAACTTAAATATAGAAGATACTTATATGTAACAATAAAGTTTATTTACTATTTATTTTAATTTCACGTCACTTCACGTCTCATCGTACGTACTTCCATGTGTCAACTAATTTCATTGTCTTCCATCTTGTTTTGCTGTCAACTTTAGCTTCGTTTAGTAATATCGAAACTGTTGTGTTCAGTAATTTGAGATAATACTTTTATGAAAGTGTAGGTAATTTTTTTGAGGACTTGGTTAAAAACTTTATGTATGTAAATACATACAGTGTTTAATTATGTTCTAAAATATATTTTTAACCAGAGTTAGTTTAAGTATCCCGGAGTAAATATATTTTCGGTTGTATTGTTTCTCTTACTCTAATTAAAAAAACACAAAGAATAATGTCATTATATTGCACCTACAGCTATAATTTATTAAAAAAGCACATCATCAAATCTATCTGAAGTTTGAACTATAACAAACATTTGTATGTATGATGCGTTTTAGATAATGTCAAATGAAAGATCAGACCTTAGATTGAAGAATTTCCTTTTTTTGCTTTTTATGGAAAAGGGGGCAAACAAGCAGAACTGGGTCACCTGATGGAAAGTGACTACTGACTTTCCTCTCAATTTGTCTTATTTTTATTTTCTATCATCTTATATTTAGATGTTCATTTTTATCATCATCATCATCAACAGCCTTTAACAGTCCACTGCTGGACATGTCATGTCATGTTCACTAATGTTCATTTTAAGTACGTTAAATTGAAATGTTATGTTTGAAATATTTATTTTTAATCTTTATTTTGTAAGTCTAGTATCTAATTGTGATATCGTGTGCGGTGTGCGAATTTAAAGTTTTCTCTGTTGTTCCAACAATGATTTTTAATCCATATTTCTAAAAACTAAATTGCACCATTAACACTAATTTAAATCTTGAAGTTTTGTTATTTTGTACTTACAATGTACATACTATGTACCTATACACATGCCAGTAATTATTTATTGAAAAAAAAAACAGTTTTTTTTTATTTTTAAGGAAAGAAGGAAATAATCCCTAAACAGGGGAACTTCACTGCGCTTAAGAATAAAAAAATAGTGACACTGCGGGAGTCATGATAGAAGTAAAAACTTATATTCTTATATAGGTACAGAGGTGTCAGTAACGGTAACAGTGTCGCGAGTTCAATTGTTTTTTCCTATCTCAAAAAATACTAAACGCGCGTAAAGAAGTTTCCACTTTAAGAGGTGACGATAACGGTAACAGTGTCGCGAGTTCAATGGTTTTTTCCCATAAAATACATTATTTTGTTTGTTGTTCAAAAATGCCCAACGCGCCTAAAGAAGTTTTCACTTCAATAATAATAATACCCTCACACATCTCTCACACGGCTGTCTGATCCCAAACTAGGCAGAACCTGTACTATGGTAACCAGACTGCTGATAAATATACATATATATTTCTAAATACATACATATTATAGATAAATTACACCCAGACACAGAACAAATTATCGTGCTCATCACACAAATATTTCAATAATTATTTAACTCCCGTAGCTTATATATTTTATGTATTTGTAATTTTTTTACATGTGTATAAATTGTATGTTTATGTGAGTATACGACGCTATTTGACGATTTGATGTAAAACTTCTATCAGGATTTATGAATTATTAAGGATTCGTACCTATTTATTTCGGAACGTCGTACGGTTTTCGTCGTTACGACATTCTATTTCACCACTGGCTCCGGTAAGGTTATGACCCGTGGGGGTTTCCACATGATAAAAAGAAGGTTTTTGCAGATAATAATAATATTTCGGAAATCTGTCACACAACACCATCTAGTTTCAAACTAGGCAGAGCTTCTATGAAAACCAGATTTACTGATAGAATACTTATATACTTTTTTGTAAATACATACATAATATACACAGAAAACACCCAAACTCCGAAACAAATATTTGCTGATTATACAAACATTCCGGGACCCGGGAATCGAATCCGAGACCTCAGCAGAGCAGTCGCATACGCTACCACTACACAACCGGGGCAGTCTAAATGTGATTCATCTTGGCTGTAATTAGGTTATAGATTACACAAATTGTATAAATCAAACACACCATATATAATAACCATTTTGATTTTATTCAGTTAAAATATGAAATAACTTACGTGTACAGTAAAAATAAGTTGTTTTTAGATAGTCATTGAAATGTTAACCCAATTATGTATATCGCTAGAAGCGCGCGGCCGCGTCCCAACATGGCGACTATCCTAACTCTTTGTTTACCAAGTGTACTAAAATACAATCTAATGATTACATTATTGTAATTTGTATTAGGTACATTAACATATAAATGGACAATTTGGACGTACAGTTGTGGTATTTATTCACTATTATGTTAAACAGAATGTCCTAAGGTAATACACGATAACACGACGCCCTCTTCACTCTCGTTCCACACGTACAAAGTTTTACGAGAAATATTTACATTATATATACTAGACCTAACATATTATTGTATACTGTCAAAGGTTTCATACAATTTGTTCATGTATCTCCACTCATGTTGTGCTCAATATTTAATCATTTATATGTGTATATGATCAGCACAAAATTGTATTTTTGGGTACGGCGCAGTGATTCAACTGCTTTGTCCAACTAGTTGGACTAGGGGTCGTTTAGGTGGCGGCGCGTAGTGTTCCCGTGCGCCCCTCTGTGCAGTCGCGAGGGGAGTCAAACACCTCACTCCCCTCGCTGACGCGATGTGGCCCGCAGCGGCGGGCTGTACCAGTCGGGGATTGCGGAAGTCACCTCAGTTCCCGCGATCCCCGGTGTTGGTGAGAGACGGAACACCGGGGGGTTTTGACTAAAACCCCCTTGTGTTCCGCGAGGGCGGAGGGGTCTGTCAGACTCCTACTGACTAGTAGGAGTCTGACAGACCCCTCCGCCCTTTCCCCTGGGCGGAGGACATCCATGAGGATCTCCACCCGTTAACAAAAAAAAAGGGGTCGTAGTAATAACGACTCGATCATAGTCTCGTGGTCTAATCTTTTCGAGTTTATTATACATTTGTTTCGTAACCCCTAATTGCAGACTTAGTTTTCAATAATACTCGAATAATGTAAGGATTAGGCGCCAGCGTTGGTCTAATGGTTAAGCATCGGCATTGATTATAAGACCCGGCATGAAACAAATTTATAATAAACTTAAAAAATTAGACCACGGGACTATGAGGGAGTCTTTAGTCCCACTAGTTGAACAAAGCAGTTAGAGCGTTGCGCCGTACCCGTATTTTTTTTTAAGAATAAATACTTTCGTGAGTGGTATTCATATTTATTAAGGGTATACGGTTTTACTCATACGTGTGTTTCGAAGATACCCAAGTAGTATTGGACTCAACTGCGGTGTTGCGACCTAGTTTGTCACTTTCCTTCATGTTAAATGTCCCCCGTCAGGCATTCACGAATTAAACACGTAAGTAAAACTGCACCTAACAAAATATGAATGATCTTTGCCGCCTTAATATTCATGTATAATCTATAACGTAGTGGAACAAAAGTGAAGCGAGCACTACCGTTGGAGCGATCGAAGCATCACGCAATACAAAAACGTCGTCGAAAATTAACTCTATTGTATCGTCCTGGATATGTTTCGAAGCGAAATCATCAAAATCATCGTTCATCATATACTGATGTGTGACCGCTCTCGAAACTAACACCGAACATGTTGCATTTATTGCTCTCGTAACATTAACGATGCGAACATCACAAACATGTCACCGTCCAGTTTTTATATCTATAGCTAATAAATTGTGCTATGTACTGATACCATCCGTTATACTATCGTTCTTTATACCTATACATAATTATATCACCTAGTGAGGTTTCAAACAATAACCTACGACTCCCTCACACGTTAAGCCTTTCTAGACGAGTCAAATCAAACAAATCCTTAAAAAAAAACATCTACGATTACAAACCCTATCGGTAGATTAACTATTGATGACTTTTTTTTCATAAGAACCCTAACGAGACTTATTTTTGTTTCTACAAGCGTTCCTTTAACAGTTAAAGTTAATTTATTTCAACTATTAGACTTAAGACTACAGCCCGCGATGGCAGCAACAACCCATCACAGCCGGCGATTGGCCGGACGTACGTATATTTAGATGACAACTCCCTTCAGCAACGTGTGAGGTGACATATATAACATACTAATTAGGTAGAAATGTACTTAACGATCTACTCTCGTACATTCATCAACAACGTAACTAGGGTCTACTTACGAAAAAATCTATGAACATCACATAATCCCGAGTGACTTTCGGACGATGTGTATGGCTAAGAAAGTATTTGCAGTCCACTCTTATGTGTCACACACCGCTTATTCCACAAATGCAGTATTTTTACGCACTCGAGCTGTACCTGAGGCGTAGGGACCGCAGCACCCCACTTATAATTCTTTTAGTACAAATTTTATCAAGTTACTGGCAATTCTGGGATAAGAAAAAAAAAACATCTGCAATAATGATTAAACTAAAATTAAAATATAATAAAAATCCTAAATGAGCTAACAATTACATTAAACATATATTAAAATTAAACAGTTTAAGCTCAACTTCATATTATTAATAATAATCCATTTAGTAAAATAAATTAAAAAAGTAAATAAAATAAGATAATCCATAGACAAAATATTGCATTCTAAACAGGAAACCGCTAACGTCATTTATTAATTAATGTATTTTATTACAAAAATATTCAAACATATCAAAGTCAGTCCACGAGATGAAAATCACCAACTTTTTTTTTAGCAATTCGCAAAAGGCACTGCTCAATGCAAATCAATTGTAAAAAGTGGGAGACAGGTCTCGGGTGGATGTGGGGACCGAACGTTGAACATGTCGAGCTCATCACACAAGCGTCCCGTATCGGTCGACTATAATTACAGCTTACACTATCCATATCATAAGAAACGGGAAGAAACTACAAATAGACATGTCAATGACGGCATTTAAAATAATATAAACAAACCTGTACACGATAGAGTACAGTATTAGTTCAGCTACGCTACGGGTTACTTGTCTGTTACGCTGCCTAATAATCCCGAGTCTCTGAAACATTCACCCTCCGTTCGCGAGAAAATGAACGAAACAAATTATCATATTTATATACTTTGCACTTCGTTCCATCCCATAGAGTATTGCACATAACATTTCCACGATAAATATATACATGAGTTAGTTATCGTATGTATAACATGTGAATGAATCACTCGCAGCTAGATTCCCGCCGGATGCGTTCGGCCGCAGCGGGCGACAGTCGGGCAACAGTCGGGCGACAGTCGGGCGACAGTCGGACAACAGTCGGGCGACAGTCGGTCAACAGTAGAGCGACTGGCGGGCGGCGGCCGGCGAGCGCACGACACGTGTCCGTTTAATGGTTTGAAAAATGTCCTTGCACTGTGTTCGTGGATTAAATCTCGGCGGTTAGCTCTACTGGTACCTGGAACAATAGTCATGTACAAATGAGTTTTATGTTCAACATTCTGGTAGTTTTGAGTAATGTCATTGGTCGTTTCAAATACGATGCGGGTGGCTAACTGGTTGATGTTCTGAACCTCGATAAGATGTGGTCGAGTATCGTGATTACCAACTTACTGAGTGTATGGAGTAAAATGACTGGTCTGACTAAATGGCTCTTGGATATTAAAGTCAAGTGCATGCTCTATCTGTCGGTAGAGGGGCGATGCTACCTATGTGGTGAGCGCGGGCTGCGCGCAGTCGGGCGGGGGCTGGTGCGGCTGGTGGGGCGGCGGCGCGGCGTACTCCACCACCTCCTGGTAGATGAGCTGCTTCCACTGCTCCACCGTGTGCTCGCGCTCGTCCACCGAGTGGTCGTACGACGCCGGCGCCGGCTAAAGGACAACAACTGTTAGAACCACACACCACACCAGTACATGGTTCGTCGGGTCAATGATTGCATTTTATAGGCACCAGAACTGGCCTGGTGGTCGAATTTTGACATTAAAATATCAGGTTTTACTTTATATCAATGGTCAATATTTTTTTTATGTTAGAGGGGGCAGACGAGCAGACGGGTTACCTCATGGAAAGTGTCAATGGTCAATATAACTAAAACTGTCATTTTGTACGTGAGGTCACTATTTTTTTTTCACCACGCCTCTGTACTTTTCGTAAAGGTTACCTAAACGTAATTTTTTAACGCGTTTCAGATCTTTATTAAAAATTGCTAATATGTGAAAGGCATCTAATTATAACTAATTCTAAATATAGCAATCGTCCGTACGTGATATTTACTTAGAAAGAGGCAAATAATACAACCCCCTTCCTCTCTCCTAACCTTTTGCTGTGCCCCTTAGGGTCCATAATGATTTTGTATTTTTATATTTTTAAGACTACTTATGTAAAATCTTTATAGAACTTCAGAAACAGTTTTCAATTTCTGTTTTTTTTTTTATATACATTTACTTAGAATATGAATATTTATTTGCAAAATAATTTCAAGTAGTCAATAAAAGTGCGTACGTACCGCATTGACCTCCCCCTCGTCGTACCACACGTTGATGTAGGGATGCAGCAGCGCCTCGTCCACGGAGATGCGGCGCTCCGGGTCGATCACGAGCATCCGGGACAACAGGTCGCGGGCCTGAGACGCCTGCCACAAACACACATATACCTCAGTCACGGACACAATAACTTAAACATACGGGACGCAACAGAATAATCAATTTATTGATTAGGGAACAGTTTTACAGGTTATGCTGCAAGAGTGTGATCATTGTAAGTCAGCATTCCGCCTGACGTCAGGGTGAGAACATTTAATAATTCTTTATGTAACTGCATCGTCAAAGTCCGGGAGTAAACAGAAATAATTCACTTTTTTTAATAAAAAGTAAATTAGTTGCGGTTACATTGGCTCTAGAGTATAACTCTGGCTTTGGAGTGTAACTTTAGCTGTGTAGTATAACTTTGGCTCCATATGTGATTTTTATCCTTAATTGGGATGTTTTATTTATGTACGTATTTATCTAACCGTAGACAATATCTAAGTTAAAATTGCAAGTCAAAGTAAGTAATCTGAACTGTAATATACAAAAGAAATACTGGGCTTTGTCAAAATAGGAACTTTGATATCTACATGTCAATGAATCTAGAAAAAAAACGACCCAGGATGAACCCTGTTTTTCTCAGATTTTACACTTGCTGCATTACAACTTGCACGAGGCAGACTTAATGCCAAATGGCATTATCTACCAGTCAACCTTGAGATGGTTCAGTAAGGGACATAGCAGGTGCACATGTATTATGTAAAAAGAAGAGAAGCTATGAAAATATAACCATAATTTGATATGACTATTTAAAATACATAGACGAATGCATAAATAACTTTTAACATATATATAAAACAAATACAATTAAAAAGTTTTTATCTTTCTTTTTATGGAAAAGGTTTTTTTTTTTTTTTAAATTCTTTAATTATACTTGAGGGACTTTGAGCCATAATTGACTATGTCAGTCCCATAAACACCTTATGCATAATACAAACAAGCTTAAATGCCTTATAAAACTAATTATCTGAATTATTTAACTTATCTATAAATTTATATAATACAATAGCTGCGTTTCACATAGGTTATGGAAAAGGTGTAGAACGTGTTACTTGTTATTTTTTAAAAAGACTACTTCCGCATTAGGAATATATCTTGTGTCGCGGGGGACTTTACCAACATACATGAAACGGACACAGAGAATATAAGTAGCGTGTTCTGCGAGCGGTCAAGCGGCGTGGAGTACCTTGAGGCGGTTGTGCTCGTTGCTGTCGCTGGGGAAGAGTATGTCGGGGAAGAGGCGCTCGAAGCTGTAGCCGGCGTAGCGCGGCCGGTTCTCCACGTAGTTGCGCACCGTGGGCTGCAGCCGCGCCATGAACGCCGCCGACGGCGTGCCCAGTTGCTCTGCGCAACAGTTCCGACACGGTTATAGGGGCACGAGGCACTACCGCCGCACATCGACTCCCGCCACTCGAGAATGTCAAATACCCCCAGAATCAGAGGAAAAGTATTGCTTTAACACTGGTTTTCTGTAAGGCTGTAGTATTACTCCGATCGAGCTGACCCATTTTTTACATGATTCTCCCACTGATGAACAGTCCTACTTATACCACTATAAGTAAGTTTGTTGTGTATCAGTCTACTCTTTAATAGTTGTAAATAAAATCAGTTTTTTAAAACACTATTTATACAATTATCCGTGTGGTGACGGATTAAGAATACAGTGTGTGAGAAGATTCATCCCGTGGGTGTCGTAAGAGCCGACTAAGGAAGCAAACTGCGCAGGACAAGAGCACTGCAAAAAAAAGGAAAGCTTGAAACAAACCCTATACCAACCCGTCTGGCCAGCGTGGTATAATAAGCCAAAAACCCTTTTCTAAGGAGTTGCCTATGTCCAGCAGTGGATTAGTAGATGATACGATAAAATTTTGACATTTCACAGTCACTTATAAGCAATGAAACTAAAAAAACCAAAACAAATGTTAGAAAAAAATCTCTTTGGATGTTCTTTTTATTCTTGGAACATGTAACTTTCGATTTACTAATTTTCATTATTATAAAACACTTATAATTGTTTTTTTTTTAGAATTCCTGGTAGACATGCTAGAAGTAAGGATCTCACCGATGATCTTGTTCCACTGGTCGATGTGATCAGTTCCGGGGAACAGCACCCCTCCGCGGATCATCTCACCCATGATGCAGCCCACCGACCAGATGTCCACGTTCTCTGTGTAGCCCATACCCAGGATCACCTGACAAGTTCATAAACATTACTATCACTATTTTCGCTTAGGGTATCTAACAGAAAGGGCAATATTTTAGTTTGTGTTGTTTTTTTGTATTAGATAAATTTAGTTAACTAGAGTGACTTATTTTTTTCGTTCCACGAATTCACCGTGCGCGTGCCAGGTCTTCTAAGGTTTAGGGAGTACTCCTTGCGACGAGTCAGCGCTCATTTCCACTGTCTGCTGTGTTGTCCCCTCTTCCTAACCATATTAGACGAGCCTATCAATAACTCTTCTGATATTTGTTCAAGAAAAGAGCTTACTGAAGCTCTTGGCTCTTAAGTTAATTACAGAAAATGATAAAAAATCACAATTACTAAAATTTAAAAGTTGAACTTCAAGTAGTCCTATTAAGGTGTACATGGAATAACCGGATTTGTCCGGCGATGTCCGTTTAAGAAATTTAAAAATTAAAAATATTCAAACATTGTTTGTAATACAAATACAATTCATCGATACAAGATATTCCGATTAATCAGGCGGAAGGGGCGGTGCTGCCAGTGAGCAGCAATGATATAACTACCAATCATGTTCTTGTAACTGTCTTTCTAAAGTATTTATGTGCCAAAATATTTTTTTTCACCACTCTCGCTCTCCCTCCACTCAGGAATATATCCTGTGTCGCGGGGGATTTTACAAACATTTATGGAAGGGACGCAAAGAACACTCAGAGTGAGAACAACATTTGTGGATCACACAAAGTGTTGTCCAATGTGGGGATGACCCACAACACTCTAGGAAGCGGCAAGCGGACCGCTTAAACCACTACGCCATCCGTGCAGTCAAAGTTCTTTCTATATTTTGTAGAAAAGGCTGTTTCAAGAATGGAATAGCTAAATATTTCGTAAGACACAGCGTACAACGCTTATCCACACAAGCTATCGATCTGGTTGAGATTGAGAGGCCTTCTTGGTTACGTACAATAGGTAGTCTCTTCCCTTTGGTACCATAAATAACCTAAAATAATAGTGATCACCACGTCAGCGCCACGTCATATATGACCATGACCACAGATAACATAGTGTAGTGTTGCACGTACTACAGGTCAATAGTTATGAGGCTCAAAAATACATACATAAGATGTATGCTGTGTTTTTTTTACAGATTGAAGTTTTATTTTATTTTTAAATAGTAAATACCTCAGGGGCGCGGTAGTATCTGGTGACGACGTAGGGGGTCATCATGAACGTGGTGCCGGCGGTGCGCGCCAGTCCAAAGTCTAAGATTTTCAGCGTACAGTCGCTCTTCACCACTATGTTGGACGGCTTCAAGTCCTGAGTACCACCAAACATATCCCTGATTTAGTCACTTACATAATAAACAATAGTTAATAATATTTTCGGATATCTGATACAAACGCCATCTAGTTTTAAACTAAGCAGTTTGTTCTACTAAAGCTAGATTGACTTTCTTTTTGTTAATCATCATCATCAACAGCCTTTAATAGTCCACTGCTGGACATAAGCCTCTCCTTAGAAAGGAGGTTTTGGCTTACTATACCACGCTGGCCAGACGGGTTCGTATAGGGTTTGTGTCAAGTTTTCCTTCTCTCTGCAGTGCTGTTGTTCTGCGTAGTTTTGTAAATACATACATATTATACATAGAAAACACCCAAACTCCGAAACAAATATTTGGAGATCACACTAATATTTAGTCCGACTCGGGAATCGAACCCGAGACCTCAGCACTGCACCACCGAGGCAGACAGTTACATGAACTTTACGGTCAATATTTTCTAAAACTTGAAAATAACTATTTTCAATTTGTCACTAGGAGTGTTTTAGTCGCTCTAACAAAAAACTCCTTTTGATTTTTTATGGTATAGGGGGGTCTAACTAACTAAGAGTCACAAGTACGTGACCGCCCTAGTCTCCTCCCCCAAACGAAACTAGGTAGAAGGTTTGGGTTTCAGTATCCTCTTTCTTCTCCTCCTCCTCATTCCCTAAGTGAAAAATAACGAAATAATTGCTGAACAGCGGTATTCTGTGAGGCCGTGGTGTAACTCCGATCGAGCTGGTTCATACGTGCCGGAGCATGACTCTCCCATGGCTAAAGCTTCGTCATGTCCATCTCTCTGTTCGTCTACCGGATTAGCTCAGAAACTGCTAGTACTAAAACTCTGCGATTTTGCAGGAGTGTTTACTAATTAGTAATGATAAAATGTATACCCTGTGTATAATTCCGGCAAGATGCAAGTGCTTGATACCGCAAAGCATCTGATACAGTAAATAGCTCATCCTCTCATGGTCCAAGTCCATCTGGATAACCTGGCACAGGTTTGCGTCCATTAGCTCCATCACCAGGTAAACGTCCTGGAACTCCTCCAGGCTCTTCTGAGGCGTAAATGCATTTAAAAGACCAATAATCTGAAAAATAATATTACGACTTTTATTGACTATTTCTTCAAGAAATGTTACCATATTAAAAAAGTAGGGAATTCATTCCCTTCGAGACTTATCATTCGATATAATGTTGTCTCCTTAGAGTTTATAATTTATAAGTAAGTTTTAAAAATGTAAAGCACCGAAATCATGATAAATATTTTCAAATTAAAAAAAAGGAACCACGTTGAGTAGACCCCATTCAATTTATGAAAGAGTCATTCAAATCAGTTTACAAATGCTAAAAATATTGCACGACATAAAAAAATCGTCGAATTTAAAACGTCCTTGTGGCAGTCGATTAAAAACCACAGAGATTGCGTACTGTTCAGTTAAGAAATGAGTTCTTTCTACAGCGGACTTTCCAATTACTTTAGAAGGACCTCCAATGGGATGATATCTTTTAAAAGAATACCATTTTTTAGGATTAAATCGGTGTTTCAAACGATTTAATAGGGAAGAAGTACGTGACTCCAAATATTTTGATTTAATTTTATTTTGATCTGATATTTTTTTTTACATATTTAATTATTTTTTAAATTTTGTCATAATTTAATACTGAAATTTAATCATCAATAACATTTTTTTATTCCCTCGCAAATTGCCAGAACGCAACGCTATTGGTGGAACAAAACGTGACGTCAATTTACACTCGACGTCTTCTGTCAACAAGTTGTTTGTATGGTTTCTGGTGATTATTTTTGTTTTAAGTTACTTTTTTTTTGTGTGATGTATGGTTGTTGGCCTGGGATGGCCTCGACAACCTTGTCCGGGCTTTTCGGTGAGCGCAGAGGGCTCTCAACCGGTCTTAATTAAGTAACATCGCCCAAGGGCACCCCCTGTGGGGTACGAACCTCGGCTTGGGGCGTTACTGGCAAACTAGGGCGACCAAGACCCACATTTAGGAGTTAACGCGGCGCGCATTCCGGCCCCGGCGGCGAGGACGGAATCGCGGACGATTTGTGGTAGCTGCGCGAGCTGTGTACACTCGCTGGTGAGCGAGGGTGATCGTGTCGTCTGGCTCTACTAGAGCGTGTTTCGGTCTGCGTGTGCGTGAAATCTTGCTGGGTGTGTAATTAACAGCCGCAACCACTAGAGGGTTGGGGTGAGTCGGAGCAGAGTCAAAGTAGCTAAGGGAACACTGTTTTATGAATTGCCTGATGGTCGGCAGCTCAAGGTCGATATGATCTAAGTTACTTGTTTTCATTCATGGCTAAATACCTACTCTTATGGATAACTACTTATGTATTAGATATTGAGAATTACTTTAAGAACTATTCGTAAACTAGGTTATGTCTTCGTCGAGGTTTGCAATTAAAACAAGTATGTGCAGGTAACAAAATAAACTGTTTTACGTATTTCATCATTTTTTAATGTCCTTACTTACGTAAAAAAGGTTTTCACAACAGTGTAAACAGCTCAAACATGATACATTGTTCTTCTCATCGCCTCACACATCTTTTTCTTTATAACTTGAGCTTTTAATATATGCATGAGCATGTTTATAATAATGTGTCTATATGGATTGGTCTCGTTTTGTGTGATGTATTTATCCGTGTTCTAAAACGTATATTTGGTACAAGACGTTACGCTAAGTTTGGGTCTAAATAAAAGGAATGTAGAAATCCTACAATATAATTATTACTTTAATAGACCAGTTGTGGCATATCTATGGACGGGGATTTCAGTACGCCACTCTGGTCTCTTCGAGATAGACCAATGGAGACAGAGGAGCCTAGCTCTGTTGACAATTTAGTGATGGAAATTATTGCTACTTACAAATCATAATCATATGATAAAATGATTGTTTTTAGTCACTGCGATGCCATCTGCATTAAATCACTACTGTGCTTTGGCAAAGATAATTGCCATCAAAACTTAAGCAAAGAAGAAATCAAATAATATATATTACATTTTCTTTTTATCGACAAGGCCCTTATTTTAGATTTAGATTTTTCGCGAGTATCTAAATAGCGTAAATCATAATCATAAGTCGCAATAATTTCTCTAATTAGTCACGAATGTGATTATATCAAAGTAACCAATAAAATCATATGATTTATAACAAGCCATGCCCATTTTCCTTGCCCTAATAAGCTTTCTTTATTTTATCCCGTCTGAAAAATATTACATTCCTTGGAGGCAGTCGCCCAGCCATAACAAGTTATGGCCAGGAATATACTGGTGATTATAATTACTACTATTACACTTACATTTTTATGATTGACGAGTTTCATAAGCTTAAACTCGCGGTAAGCCCGCTTCGCGTGCGTCACATTCTGGAAAGGCCGCGACAACTTCTTGATGGCAACGTTCTGTTGTGTCACTGTATCGTATGCGGCACTGCAACCAACAAACACCAACACTTATAGAGGGGAACAAGCAATGGATATTGATTAAGACGAAGATTTTATTATACTTGGGTACAAACCATCAACGAGGCCATGCAAAAAAATATCACAATGCAGTTAGTGCAAGTAAATATGTTATTTTTTAATTTACAATGTTATGTTTCTCAAATAAAATGAAAGATATTTTACAATTAGTAAGAGACAGGTATAGTTATTAGTTATTTACATATGTATTTGTAACTTTATAATTATAATATGCGGACTGAAATACTCAAATCCCTGCAGACTCCGTGCGACGAAATATTTCCACGAAAAAAGCGAATAAATTACGAGGTACACAAACAATAAAAGTCTCAAAACTGACATTATGTTTGACATGGGAAAACAGTTTGGACGCAGTATTTTTTTTTATGGTATAAGGTGGCAAAAGACGGGTCACCTGATGGTAAGCAACTACCGCCGTCCATGGAAACCTGCATCTCAAAGGTTGTGCTGCTGCCCTTGGAGTCCCTCCCGCTCGAGTCAGCGCTCGTATTTGGGTTCCGGCAACCTCACTCACTCAGTGAAAGGCAACGAAAGAATTGCTTAACACCGGTTTTATGTGAGGCCGTAGTATCACTCCGGTCGAGCTGGCCCATTCGTGCCGAAGCATGGCTCTCCCACGACAAAGTTCGAATAGTAAGAAAAAGTATTTTTGTATATACTTTTCCTGACTTTCATTGTACAGTGTCCAAAATGTCACCATCTTCGGATTTCAGAGTTTATTACTACGGTTATTAAATCAGTACTACTGTAACTATTTACGTGTTCTAAATTTTTTTAACTCCGTAGTAATAAAGATTTCAGAGTTACAGTCCTGTGACAAGCAGACCAACGGAATACGAAACCAATAAAATACTCAATGTAACAAGAAAATAATTACATAAAAACGTTACGTATATGAGTTATAATTGTACAAATTATAACTTTTATGGTCATTCATATACGATTTAAATTAATGCACGCACGTTTTGCACGGAGTCCAGAGTAATTTGAGAACAATACAAATGGAAAAACAACCATCATCCAAACCAATGAACCCAAAACGTACCCAATGATGCAGTTCACTCAAACATTTAGAATTTAATAACATATCAGTCTGATTTTTATAGTAGTCTATTCATTTTTCTTTTATCAAAATTGTACACTATCGTTTGTGATGCGAATTTTATTGCCGAATACAAAACTACACCCCTTTTAATTATACTTACTTACATAAATAGGCAACAACAAAAGAGTTTATTGTCGTTTTCTCTTGTTAGTCGACCGATTTTTTTTATTCCTTTCGTTGGTGCAGCTGAGTTTTAAGGTGGTCAATGTAGTATATTTTGTAATATTTACTTAATAAATTACGGTCGAATTTCAAACTCAGAACGCCCTTTAGTTCATTTAATTGTGAGCTTAAAGGTTTCGAGGCTGTGGTGTAGTGTATGAATTAGTATTAATCCTAAAACCAAAGCAGACGTATACATTCAAATCGGCGGCCATTTTGCAAGATGGCGCCGTGTCTTACCACACCATTCCCTGTGCGCCCGCACCTCGGCTCACAAGTTCTGTGTACCGCGTGGGTATTGTGAACACGGAGTCACCGAGTGTGACTGAGTAAAACTGAACCATCTCTAACCGGCTAACATTCACTACTCGATCAGCTATAAAAGAAACAAATTATATTGGTGATTTGTGATGAGCGAAGCCAGGATCAGCCAGGATGCAGTGTGAGTAAAATTATTGGTATTTATGTAACATATTGTTTATTTCCCGTAATTACCTTAATTTAACGGGATTTACTTAACACGTGTAATTTGTAAGTTCAGTATGATTTTTTAATTTGGTATTTATGGATAGTTAAATCCATGAATTCTGGCTGCGATCATTACTGTAAAAGCTTCTACGGTGCAGTTTGGCGTGCCAAATACGCATAGTTACCAGCGTCAGATATTCCTTTGAAATTGTAGAACATTCGAAGTAACTATGGTACATTCAAATTTAGTGTTCTTGTACAGGATATTACAGATAGGTATGCCCGTGTTTTAGAATTGTATAGTATGTATATATACTTGTAAATAACGTGAATAAAATAGCAAAAAACCGACATCATTTTTTTTTATTTGACTATATTTTTAAGTAATAACTATATTATTCAATTATTATTATTTTTAAATAAGTATACGTAACGCAGATTCGTTTTATGTAACCCTACTTAAGAGCATGACGATATCTTTTGGTGTTACTATTTTTAAATTTAAACCAATGAGGTTAAATATGTGAAAACAAAAATTAAAAAAAAAACTCAAGCGAAGGTATGTCTGACGCTGGCTCATAGACAACAGTTTGGCGGCAATAGTCATGCGTGTGTCGCGTGCGGAGGATGCAAACTAGTTTCGTGTAACAGTGCAATAATGATGCTTTGCGTGCGTAGCAAATATAATTACTTACATAATATAGTAAAGTAGGTTAAGAGTCAAAATACAAAAAATGCAAATTCTTGCGATGGAATTAAAAGCACCGGGGGCAAATCAATTAAGCATAAGAGCAGACGGGGTCACTTGATGGTAAGTGCCGCCCATGGACATCTGGTACTCGAGAGTTACAAGTACCCCCACCAGAATCAGGGGAAGAAGGGGTTTGGGCTAAGGTTACTTCACTCACTCTGTGAAAAGCAACGAAAGACTTGCTAAACAGCTGTCAAAGAAATTTGAGGCCGTGGTTTTACTCCGGTCGAGCTCGCTCATTTGTGCCACAGCAGGGCTCCCCTACGGCCATGTGGCGCTGTCAGTAAAGTACAAATTACCATGGCAGCTATCTGCAATTTGATGTCGTCAATAATTGTTTTTTAACGTTATGCTCTGAGCGTATGGGAACGAGACCGAAAAAAGTGTAACAAGTCTTTTTTCCGACACTTCTTGCGAAACTTCGTTCCGACCGGGGGTCTATAGTCCCTTACGTCGTTTTTTTTTAATGTTAGAGGGGGCAGATGAGCAGACTTTTTTGACTTTCGCCGCCCATGAACGTCTGCAACTCAGGAGTCACAAACACGTTGGTTTGAAGGTCGAATGTTAATTTTTATGCGTTGCGAGCGAATTGATAGCTTCGAGTGACATTCATTGTTGTGACGCTTTCAATAAGATAGTAATTCCTGTGGCAGGTTTGTGCAATATTGCAAGAAGTCGCATTTTTGTTTGTTGACCGTGAACTCGTAGTTACTTGTATATTTTTGTACACAAGCAGTTGTGAGGGGGTTGGCAGAGTAGGTGTTTAATGTACAGTTGTGGCATGCATGTGTGAAATTGATTGCCGAAGAAATAAAATTAAAATGTATAATCTAAGAAATAAATACACTTAAGATGATATTTGTTTGATATAATACAATAAAATGTATCAAGTTTGGTTAAATAGATAAGTGCGGACACAATTAATTGTTGAAACTGTTTAAAAATTAAAAAAAAAGTTGAAAAAAAAGGTGTGCTATAAATAGTATAATATTTTACAACAAATTAATGGCTTTTTTAATCGTTTCAAAGTATTCAAATGACTACTAAAATAAGTCTAAAAACAAATAAAAAATACAATGTTCCTCACTTTGTTTTTAAACAATGGCTGTTGTATTATAATCTCGAATTTCAATTTGAAATTCACGAACTAAATACCTATACTTCAACACCTAAATGTTCGAGTTCCAACGAAATGTTGAGACTTTAATAACTAAACTTCTTGCTTATGAACTGTCACAATTTCCAAGTGCTGTCAATGTTAACTATTGGATACCAGAGACTTGAGATTAAAACGACATTCCTCGTACATTTGTAAATGTAACTTAGGACCTCTACCACAAAGCCATTAACCAAAAGTTGAAGTTGAAGTAACTTAGGACTTTTTTATTTCAATGATACTTATTAGCAGTCCTTACTTCACAATATAAAGTTTAATTTTGTATTCGTATGTGTCCTTTTTAATTCGACAACATTAAAGCTAAAGGTACGAAAATGATTAGCTTTACTTTGCTTCATCATCATCATCATCAACTGCCTTTAAGAGTCCACTGCTAGACATAGGCCTCTCCTTAAAAAGGAGGTTTTGGCCTACTATACCACGCTGGCCAGACGGGTTGGTATAGGGTTTGTGTCAAGTTTTCCTTCTCTTTGCAGAGCTGTTGTCCTGCGTAGATAGCTTCCTTAGTCGGCTCTTACGACACCCATTGGATGATTGAGGGTGGTGACAATACGTATTCTTAATCCGTCACTACTTTGCTTAACACATGTCAAATAACTTTAAATAGTAAATTTACAAATTGTCTAAAGTAATAACGAAATAGTGAAATAAATTTAAGATTTCTTACAATTGTTCAACGAAAGTTATGTAATAACGGTAACAGCTTTAATGCGTAAAATAATATTAAATGTAACTCACCATACTATGCCCTGTGCTCCGGATCCAATGGGTTTCAGGTTCTGGTAACGCTTGAGGATGGTGAAGCGTGTGTCGCCGACCTCAACGGTGTAGAAGTGGGGGTGGCGCGGCGGGGCCGACATGGCAGAGGCTGGAGGCGCCGCGTGGGGCATGGACCACCCCTACCTGATACACAAACAAAAGTTTTAATAATATATTAAGAAGCAACAACGAGGTTCAAAGGGTGAATTTGGAAACTTGTATTTAGGTATTTAAAATGCTTAAACATTCATTGCATGATGTAAGATTAGGCGTTTTAATGTAGTAAGTACCTTCTCTAGTTGTAAGATGAAATTGGTTTGGTCGCTATTTCTTTGAGTTCAGAAATACTTGTAAGCATTACTATATTTATCAATTATTTATAAGGAAATTTTATGACTTCTTGATATTATCATTAGTTACTTACTTTATGTGAATGTGTGTACTGAGTGCGCGGGCGCAGTCCATATATTGTGCGCGGTGTTGTTTCACACTGCGTAGCACTCCCGTAGCTCCGTAGCAATATGGTTCGTTATAGAGTTGTCTCACTTGGCGCACGTTAGGTGGTGGGACGACTATTACGTCTGTGGAAGATGAAAGATCTACATCAAATGACTTAGTCATTATTCATAATCAAGTTACAATTAAAAAGATCTTAGCAATGTTTGTTAAAAGTATCAAGATCACAAAACGGCAATGATTTAACAACAGTACAACCTCTAAACGTGTATGTATATTCATATGTTCTCGTTTTAATATCAAATACTTTAATATGCTCAAAAATATGACCATAAAAAGAATGTTCTATTTTATATCTCAGTAAGTAGAAGAACGAGAGAATAGAGTACATTTCTCTATTCTATAAGTCGGTTTGAAATCCATGCCATGACAAAAAAGTTTTTAGACCAAAAGTGTCAAACAATTAAATGAGCGTCGACTGTACAACGTCAAATAGAATAGCAAAACAGTTGACAGTAAAGTTAGATCCTCTACTGCGGTTTATGAACATTAACAAAAGATGACGTCTGGACGATTTCACTTCATATAGATTAACATCAAAACAACAATAGGCAAGTTTAAATGAGAAACGCTCAAGAGTATTCGAAGGATTGAAGACGTTGAACTTTGAGCAGTTATACGCCAATGTTGCCAGACTAATCTATACTAATATTATAAAGCTGAAGAGTTTGTTTGTTTGTTTCTTTGTTCTCAGGAACTACTGGTCCGATTTGAAAAATTCTTTCAGTGTTAGATAGCCCATTTATCGAGGAAAGCTATAGGCTATATATCATCACGCTAAGACTAATAGGAGCGGAGCACCAATGAAGAATGTTTCAAAAACGGAGAAAATTGATAACTATTGAGAGACGCAGACGAAGTTGCGCGGGTCAGCTAGTTTAATATAATTGAACACGCAATGAACTCTTTTTACTTTTCTTTTCTTTCTTTAAAAAAGACAATTCCCGCATTAGGAATACATAATGTGTCACGGGGACTTTACAAACATACATGAAACGGACACAAAGAACACCCAGACTTAGAACAACAATTTTTGGATCACACAAAGTGTCGTCCCATGTGGGGATCGGACCTACAACACTCAGCGTAGTAGTGAACGGCGTGGCGACCGCTTAAACCACTACACCATCTGTGCAATGAATTCTTTGTTTGTATGTAAGCATTACAAGTCGTAATACGAAGACAGCGTTCCAATCACGAGTTTTGTTGCTTTTGGATTAAATTGCATTAATGTCATGTGTAAGCTAATAGTATTACGGAAATGGGAAATATTTGACGACCGGATGGCGTAGTGGTTTGTGTAACGGACTGCTATTCCAAAGGTCGCGGGTTCGATTCCTGTTCAAGTCAAACATTTGTGTGCATGAACATTTTATGTTTGATTTGGTCTGGGTGTTTATATGTATAAAATGTCTGTATTTACAAAAAAAAAAAAGTATATCTGTATTTATATCAGTTGTCTAGTACCCATAGTACAAGCTCTGCTTAGTTTGGGACTAGATGGCGTTGTGTGTATGTGATAGAATATTATTATTATTATATTATTATTATTTTGAGTTTAATATCAGTATAGCATAAATGTAATTATAGATTGAACCGCAGCCAAACCGAAAAGCGCTGCTTTAGTGGTGTAGTACGGTACGCGACTGCAGTCAATGAGGACGAGGGTATGAATCCCGGACCTGGCCAATTTTTATAGTTTTTCTGAAAGGAAAAATAGCCTAAGTAACTCCCTATATAGACAGCTCTCTGATAGTAAAATATAATCAAAATCGGTAAAGCCGTTTTGAAGATTACCCGGAACAAACGGACAGACAAATAAAACAAATAGTGGATGTATCGTACGGAAGTTACGAAAATACAAACATGCACAAAGATTGTCTATACTATTATTATAAAGCAGTAAAGTTTGTGAGTTTGTATGTACGGGGTAATCTCCGATGCTACTGATCTGATTTTGATAATTCTTTCACTGTTACAAAGGTACATTATCCCTGAGTGCTATAGACTACTTTTTACCGCGATAACGAATATACACGCGGGCGGAGCCATGGGCAAAAGCAAGTAAAACAGAATATAGCCATTAGCAATATAGTTTTACGAAAAAAAATGCAGTATTCAATAAAAAAAGGTTAGAAATGTTTATCTCAATATTTCAATACTAAGTTAAGTGACTCAAGCGATATAACTTTGCTAAATACTTTTGAGGAAAAGTAATGAATCAACTTCAAGTAAAGGATCTCAAGAAAAAAAAGTTCTTGATACAGTTGTATTTTTTATCCTTGTTACATCAGAATTCCGATATCAATTTGGAAAATTATTTTCTTATTTCGGAGGGTATACTTCCTGTTTGGTCCCATTCAAATTTGAACAAAAAATACCACCCTTAAGGGTGGAAAATTTACGAATGAAGGATACCGCTTATTATAATTATTCAAGTCCATACGTTTTTTTAGAAGTTAATTGTCCATCTCAATATTTTAATACTAATAATTATTTTTGAGAAGTTATTTTTAGTTACAATTAACTTCTATTCATTGCCTCACAGAAAACCGGTGAAAAGCAATTATTTCGTTGAGTGATTTACGTTCCCGGAGTCCCCAATTTTAAGAATTTTGGAGGGAGTAGCACTCACATGGCGGCAACACATTTGTGTCTCATAAGCTGATTATGTCCATAAAAGGCGCTAGTCACTAACCATTAGAGGCCTTAGTGAGAGTTTATTTCACTTCGACTCGTTCTCGAAGGCGAGTGCGTTTGGCGTCACGATTGGTGAAGATTTTAAGTGCCGGGCAATTGCAACGCCGAGCGGTCACCGAGTCGATGTGAAATCAACTTACACTAGGCCAGGGATGTTAGACGTACCAAATTCTTGGTATACGTACCATTTTTCAGTGTTTTGTCATCATCATCAACAGCCTATAACAGTCCACTGCTGGACATAAGCCTCTCCTTAGAAAGGAGGTTTTGGCCTACTATACAACGCTGGCCAGACGGGTTGGTATAGGGTTTGTTTCAAGTTTTCCTTCTCTTTGCAGTGCTGTTGTCCTGCGTAGTTTGGTCCCTTAGTCGGCTGTTACGACACCCACGGGATGAATAGGGGTGGTGACATTCCGTATTCTTAATCCTTCACCACACGGATTCAGTGTTTTGTACCACGTACCAATTAAATATAGTGTTGGTACGCAATGTAAAATCCTTCGGGAAAGTATACTCTGGTTTCTGGGAAAGAAACTTTGTCAAATTTTGTTGGCCTGTGTTGTTATTGTGAAAATTTACTGTTCATGATGATATTTATTTTTGACCCATAGAGTAACTTACTTCAGATTAACTTTATCACTCGAGTGAATTATCAATGGATGACGGGTATGATTTTGTCAGAAAATAATATAAAAAATTCGGTCAATGTAACTAACGGTTGATTTTTTTTTTATTTTTTCCAAATTATGTATAGATATTTATAAGGTCTAATAATAAAAACATCAACGAATAATGAGAATAACTATTGTTAGTTATATATAACATTAATAATAACTATTATTATAAATTTTTTATCACGTATGATTTCTTTTTTTAAATAATCAAGATTTTTTCGATAGTTCAAAATTTAATTTAAAAGAACATTTTTACTAATATAATGTTATTGTGAGTGTACCAACTTTTTTTTTCAAATACCAGCTTTTAGAGCCTTTTAGCGACATCTGTACCAGCTTTGGCTACCCACAGTCTAACATCCCTGCACTAGGCCCTCAGGTCTCCCGTCGGCAAGTTTACTCCCTAAAACCATAGAGTCGTTACATCTATTCTTTTGTAACCAATACCATAAATATCAAATAAGTTGATGATTTTTAGTTAAGATGAACACTGATTTAGAAGAAATATTACCGTACTTCCATTATTATTGTGTGTTTATGTTGATGTTATACATGTTTTTTATTTTAATGTTCCTTTCAGGGAATTTAATATTACAGAAAAAGCAATTTAAATATTCATGTGAGTTATAAGGTTAACGCCGCTGTTGTTATTAGGTCAATAATCTCATTATTACAAAACATGTTCTCTTTGTACATAACTAAGGCCCAATTTAATTTGTAGGGTAATTACACTGTTCCGGTTCATAATTTATTTTTTGACCGACTTGAATGAAGAGGCGTTCTTCGTTTGGCTGTATGTTTTCATTTTGTATGTTTTCTACTGCAATGATACTACTTATTACTGAAAAAAAAGAGTTGATGTTACCTTTCATAAAACTATTTAATCACGAAGTTACGACTTATTACTTATTTTTTTACTTACTTATTTTATACACAGACAAACAAAATTTTTCCTCTGCATAATATTAGTATAAAGGGTACAAACAAAAGACATCACATCCACTGACCGCAAAAACGTTAATTACAATATATTACCTGGCAACACCAGAAAATCTGAAACATTGTTGTAGCAACATTTTTAATAAGGCTCATTTACTCGCCACAGTTAAGGCAAGCGTTGCGCCCAACCCGTACCGCAGCTGTCATATAAATGTCAAGTGTGAACAAGCACACGTACCTAGGGTTGTCACATACACGAATATTTATATTTA